CTAATTTAAAGGGCACATCTGGTTCTCTGATGGAAGAGTAACTGGGACCAGGGATAGCCATGCAGACATTATTACAGGGAGTGATCTTTCTTTCATTTCTTAAAATATATTCACCATGCTCTGTTATTTTGAATAGCTTAGAATTCACCCAATGAAAATTATCACCCTCAAATACCATTTCTTTTACCCTAATGTTTTTATTGTTAATATCATCTAAGATGTTTCTGTGATAGCAACTTGACATGTCTTCCTGCCACGTTATATAAACCACAGAAATTGTCACAGTTAATAGTTACTAGTATATGAATGTATGCATGATAATGGAGGGAAAGTTAAAACTTAGGAAGATCTTAGAGGAAAAAACATAGAAGAGTGAGGAGAACATAACTTTGAAGAGTGGGAAGAATTTAACTCCTAGAGCTAGATTTGAGTGTTGTCTCCCTTACTTAAGGTCTCTGGCCAAATTCTTTACTTCTGTGAGCCTTAGTTAGCCACCTGAACTGTAAAATGATTAGACTGAAATGGGTAAATGGTTCCCGGTCTTTACACAGCCATTTTTCTCTCTAGGGACCTTGCATTCACAAAGATTTGGCCTACTAAATTAGCTGTTTGTATTCATCAAAGACCTGTATTATGCCAGTCACTCCTTCTGCTAATTGTTAAATAACCTGTGTTATGACACTGGGTTGGTACAATTCTATCAAAAAATGAAAATAACACAAAACCGTTAGTTTACTTTTGCAGGTTTATTGCCAGCAAATCTATGTTTCTTATTGGGCTTTTTGAAATATTGACTTTAAGTTTCAGATTCCTGCCAGGTGTGGTGGCACATGCCTATAATTCCACCTACTCCCAAGGCTAAGGCAGGAGAGTCACTTGAACCTGGGAGGCAGAGGGTGCAGTGAGCCGAGATCGCGACACTGCACTCCAGCCTGGGTGACAGAGCGAGACTCTGTCTAAAAAAAGGAAAAAAGATTTTCAGATTCCTTTCCTTTTAATGTAAATCTCAAGTTGGAATCCATTAAACATGGTTGTAAAAATGGTCCCTTTAAGAAGATGAGCCAGGGTTTGAGTTCTTCCTGTCCCCAACCAACCTTTGGGAGCACCCTTTCACTGGGTGTGATTTTATGCTTGTAGAGAGCTAACACAACTGTCCCCTCCATTCCTGTGGGTGGTGAGAGTAAGAAGACACTGAGTTCTGATTTATAGTTTGACCCAACACCACAGGAAATTAACGATTCAGAGGCAAATAAACATATACAGACATTTTTTTTCCTTTAAGCAATCTTAAATCAGAGAGCACTGTTTTCACCTATGAACTCAAGTAGCAATTTTGAGCAAAATCATTACCTTTCAAATAGACTTTTCTCAGCTATTTTAGTGAACTTACTCTATTCAGTTTACTAGCAGCCTTCTGCTCATAGGTGGTAACTTGGCCAGTGATCGTTATCTGTGTATCCCTAATAAAAACTATGAATGAGCTACATTTCCTTCAACAGCACAGTTACAGGATGTCTGCCACGGTTTGTAAAGAAAATCCAGAGAGCTTTTTTTAATGCTGAGGTTGTTTTCAACCTTATGCCCAAAATTTGGTCACCCTCAAAACAGTCGACAGAACTATTACTCAAAACCAGTCCCTCCATTCTATCTCATAAATATTTGACCTAACTACTTCACAGAATCTCATAGCCTAGCTTCTGTGTTTTAAAGCCTTCTCTTCTAAATGACATTAAATACTTTGACATTTTAATCTCAAAAATTCAAGAGGCTTTTTTTTAGCTTTCATAATATGGTAGCAAAGAATGAAATGTTGACAAAAGGTGGGGGAGGGGAGTTGAATGCCTGGGGAATAAAGTATATGAAACTTGCACTGGAGCATAGATTTTTGCTTCTTAAGCTTTCATATTAGACTATACATTACATGGCTCCACTGAAATTTTTTTCTTCTGCAGCGTTTCTGAGGTTTCAGGTTTCTGGATTTATTATGGCACCCAGTAGCAAAGCTGGAGTCAAGTGTTTGCAAGGCTTCCATTAGAAATTCCTTTTTCAGAGTTTATTGCTTGACTGTTTCAAATTATATGAGAGAAACTTGGCACACAGGTTGTTGAGCTGGATTACTTTTTTGACATAAAATCTAATTTATTTCAGTTTGTTTTTAATCTAGAGATGGGCCAACATCTCTTCTCATAGTTTTATAAGGTTTGATCATAATTCCCAATCATGTGTGTTTTTTTTTTTTAACGAAAGAAGAGAAACTGCATTTTCCAACTTAATTGTTCATGGCTTTCTCAAAATCCTTGTTGAAAATTTTGAGAAATTTATTTTCACAAAGCACTTAATTAGTGTGCTTGATATCTGTTTGCAGATCATTTCACCATGTGTAATGCAGCATGTATGACTTGGTATATGACCATCAGAGTTCATCTCAATGTTTTTACCATGCATTATTCTTTCTGTTAGAATGTCATCATCCTGAAGATTTGGTATTCCTGTCGTAGTGTGTAGAAAAGGGCAAAAAAATATTGTGTGGAGGTCACTTAAAATATTACTCATAAAATTAGCCCTCTGTCTGTTCTTCAAAGACCAACCTGAGGCCTTGCTCCACAAGCCCAGAAGTTTAGGACTGGTCACTTAGCTATGCACCCCAGCTCCATCTTGCCTACAACATGCTTCTTGGATCGCTGGATTCAGAGTCCAGGATGCTCACCATTACATCATGGAACCTTGAACTAACATCCTTCTCACATTTCTTGTTATCTTTTTATGACATCTCCTTCCCTCTTTCTCTTACTTCCCCCCATTGTTCTTTTACCATATTTCACCTATACAGAAATGTCGAGTTGATTGTTGGGTTTGAGGTAATTTTCATTGCACATCTTCTTAAAGGCTAGACCACATTTATCACATTGATTTTAACTTTTATGTTGTCACTGACCTAGCACTTTTAGTTTAACAAATCATCCTTTTCTTCTGGTTCCATAAAAAAATGTAAAGTCATAATGATAAAGCCCCTTAAACCTGATACATAAAAGTAATTATTAAAGACTTACAAGTTTACCATTGTCCTAGGAAAGGTGTGCTCTGTAGCAAACTGATTTTTTATTTAAAGTACAACATTATTATACCACATTATTACTTAAGGTATTCCTTAAATTACATTACTGCTGTTTTCTAAATACTTCTTAAGTTGTATTTATACCCACCTGTTGGGCATTACCAGTTTAAAATGCCCTGTTTTGGGCAGTATTTTGAAAAGTTTAAACCCAAGGAGTTTAGGAAAATATTCAGGGAAGCACCCACCAATTAAACCACTGAAAGTTTTTGATATATACTTACTGGTTTTTGCCTTGCAAAAAGAATTTAAAATTAAAAACTGTTATTTCTATCACCCTATGTGGCTGAATGGATTATAGAGATTTAGTTCTGTGTTACTGTAATTAATGGTTATTATTCAAATGTAGCTGAATATTCTTAAAAATATTAACATACTTTAAAACAAAAATAAAATATCAGAGACAACTGGAAATGTATGAAAAGAGTTTAAATTATTTGAATCACATTCTGTTCTTGCATATCAATAAACATCATTCACTGCTGAGTGGTCAAACCAAGTAATTCTGGGGCAAATAGGTAAATTATGTTTTGGCTTCTAAATATGAAAAAAAAAATTTTTCTTTAGACTTTAAGATATTTTTCTCTATATATTATATATATATATATGTGTGTGTGTTTTTAGTGACTAATGGTAATACTGAGTGAATAACAGTGAGTGAATTGTTGGATATGTGCTCTGAACTACTACATAACATGTTTTAGACATATAAATTATTTTAACATTGTGTTAAGACTGTACACTGGGCAAGATTCAGATTCGTGGACTTGTTTATCTTCTGTGTGAGGACAACTAACTGTCCAATGCCAAAATACAATGAACTTTCAAATATCAAAGAGGAAAATTAAGTATTTCAAGTCCTCAGCTGGTTTACAGATGTGTGAGCTTTGTAGTCCATTCTCTGGTTCCAATAGGGCATTATGACAATTTTTCCAATATGTGTACACTAGATAAGTTTTTAAAGTATAATCTCTTACTTTAAATATTGAACTTTCTGATTTAAAATTTTTTACATTTATTTAATTCTAAAAATGAACTCTGAAATGAAGCTTCAAAATTAACAAAATATTTTTGAATGTAAAATGCATTAAATTAAGGAACTTCTCTCTGTCAGGAAAATAAATGCCTTTTGAAAACAGGTACTAATTTAGATCTATGATTAACCTTTAACAAGATCTTCCTGTTAAATTCTACATTTGCTTTAATCTCAGTAGGAAAAATACAAAATAGTATTGTAGGATATAAGGTTTCTGTATACCCTGTGGACATCAAATGATCTCTTACAGCTAAAGGCACATCTGCAACATATTTAAATGCCAGCTTTAGGCATTATTAGTATAAAATGCTAAGTCACTTTTCTTTGCAAATATTTTGAGAAGTTTAAAACTCCAAGAGGAAACTCCAGTAAATAGTAATCTTATGATGCCATTTGCATCGAGAGTTGTAGAAAGATGAATGGCTGTATTGCATATTTTTCATTTAGGGAAAAGTAGCATGATAGCCTTCCTTAAAATAAGTGTGAAGTTTGGTAATGGTACCGTTGTTGTACTAAAAACTGTTGTGTTTTTGTGCCATCTTTCACTATACTATAAAATGATTTTAAATCTATATTATCAACTGTAGAAGTAACATAGTCATGAAGTTTGGGGGGGGCTCCCTTCAAACCTTGAGAGTTCAAGGTTATGAAAGTTCAGGAATTATTATTGGTTTGTTTTAAATAATTAATCTGTCCTGCATTTGTAATAATCCAAAACCTCACTGACTGATGTGCAAGTGTATAAATATTTTCTAGGTGACATTAATTGAAAAATTGTGATTCCACCATAGATTTTCTTTCTTCTAACTTGCATTTTTTACATCTGTCTTTTTCTTAAACATAACTCTGAAGGTCAAATATTCGGGACAATGTAGAAATGATTAAGCTTCATAAACAGCTAGTGGAGAAAAGCAATGCTCTTTCAGCAATGGAAGGAAAATTTATTCAGCTTCAAGAGGTACAATGATAATTTATTTTATTATGATGTTACAGAGATGCAAAGGATTCAAAAATAGTATTGAAGTTTTTAATATAGAATGTTGTTTTATATAGAATGATTATAATACTAAAACATTTTTAAAGATTGTTCTTTGTATTCACAAATGTGTAACATTTCCCTTAATATATTGTTTATTATTTATAACTCAAGTATTAAGGAAATAAATAACTTCTTGGACTTTTTATAAGTATCTGTGTCCTCTTAAAGTAATAAACATATTTATTATAATCATCTTGTACCATGGAAATTTATTTTAACTCCTTTTATCTGAATTTATTATGGACACATAAGTTTTTGCTATATTTGCATATAGCTTCAATTTTAAGCATTTATACAATTATTGACAATAGACCAAAGTGATGAATAGGACAGTAGTCATGTTTTGTTAAAGCTTTCTTTGATTTGGATTTTTTTCTTTTTTGGTCACTACCATTACCTGAAAATATTTGATTACTCTTAATGTCAACTGTCAGTGTGTTTATTTTAAACCTTAACCATTTAGGTTGACAATACTTGGGATATTTTTACAAGGACTATAACCCCACAGGAATATGCCATCTGAAGGCTTCTATCTGTTGGCACTGCATAATTAACATAGGTTCTGGAGTTAATGAACTCCAAGACATTCCAGATTAATGGTATTTATATGAAATAATACTTTCTTTGAAGTACTGAGGCAAGGAGAGCAGTAGATTGATGCAAAGCAAAGGGTCATCTGAAGCCTAAATTCACTGTTGAATTAGATTGTTAATATTTTTGAGCCATGCTCTGGGGATTTTGTTTTCCATTCTGCAGGAACCTCCTTAAATGCCAAGTGGTAACTACTTCTGCATAAATGTGACTTTGAGTGAGAGTGATGGTACTATGTACAGATAGTTAGAAAAAAGAAATTATAAAATTCCCTGTGATCGAAACCATTTCTAAATGAAGAATTAAGAAAGGAATTGAAAAATGATTTTATATTCTTTTATCATTTTGACAATTTTGATTTCTGTTTAACAGTGACCCCAGGCATTAGTTTAAATACCAGCAATAACAGGTGTCTGCTGTAGTACAGGCAGCTCTTTTGGAAGTTGACATATGGTAAAAAGTTGAGAGGTTAAGCCCAACAGCCCCAGTGAAGTGTGGAGCAAAGACAAAGATATTCTATAGTAATACCAATATGAAATAATGCAAAAATTGACCTGAATGCCTCAATAGTCGTGTTTCATTTAAACAAGTGAAGAAAAACTTCAGTAGGACTTGAGAGATTTTAGTTAGTGGATGAGGCATTGCGTGTTATGGTTACATGGTCTCTCTGAAAAGACTTTAGTGTAATTATCTTCTTATTTAAAAAAAACTATATGACATTGAAGTATATGAAATTGAATTTACAGCATGGTCATAAATTGACCATTTTTTTAAAATAAGAAAAGTTCATAACTATTTTACTAAATTGGAAATTTTAACTTAATTGTATTCAAATTAAAAACTAATCAGCTAAGGCTATTTATATGATGCAGTGACAAATCCCTTCAGTTCACTTATCTGTCGTCAGCATTTCTCACCCATGCTACAGCATTTTTAGACAGCATGTCCAACCAATGTAACCACAGCAAAAAGAAAACAAAATTAATTGTTAAAACGAATTTACTTGCTGGTCACCATCAACAAGTCAAAAACTAGGAGGAAATAAAATACGTGACTCTGTGCTAAGATAACCCTGTGTTTTCTTCTTCATGTCACACAGAGGTTCAGAGTGTCTTTACGGAGAAGTATCACATACACATCGTTTGTTATGTGAAAAATAAGCTGTATAATGTGAACTTCAGGAGTAAATTCATTTATAGAATTGTAATCATTTAGTCAAATGATTAATCATAATCCAAAAATAATGTTTAAAGGATTTTTTTTTCTCTTTTAGAAGCAAAGAACTCTCAGAATCAGCCACGATGCCTTGATGGCAAATGGGGATGAGTTAAACATGCAACTTAAAGAGCAGCGTTTAAAATGCTGCAGTCTTGAGAAACAATTACATTCTATGAAGTTTTCTGAAAGAAGAACAGAAGAGGTAAGCTCGCGAAGAGTTTACCCATCTGTTACATTAAAACTTCTTGGTTACTGTTTTGAAAAAGTAAAATAGAGACATTTAAAAATTGTACTTATTTAAAATTATAAGGTATATACATGGTGTTTTGAGCACAGCAAAATATGCTAGTTAACATATGAATGGCAAATCAGTGCTTAAGTATACTTGCAAATGTGCCGAGATCCACTGTTTACCCAAAGGATTAAAGATCCTTGAGTAAAATGAAAACATTTTGAAACTTAGGCCAGATTACCTATGGAACTTAACTTTCTCAGCTATAACAGCTTATTAATCATTTGAGAGACTAACACAAAATAATAGGACTATGTCTGTTTCTGAGGAAATGGCTGTTATGTTCTGCATTATCAGTAATTTGGTGAAATTATCTAATTTTTTTTAGGGAGTTTCTTGAAAACTCATCTTTCTATTATCATAGTAATGTCTGTAGCCTGTTAAGTTTGTTCCCAAGGAGAACAGAAGCGAAATAAGATGCCTGCATTCTGTTCTGATCTTGGGAGAATCTTTTGCTGTCTCATACTAGCATCAAAAGAGAATTTTGAAAATGTAAATAAAGTTTAAGGGTATTCTGATCCATGAGGAAAAGTTGTGACTGCAAAATATACTTATGAATAAAACTTAAAAATAAATACTAGAGTACATAATCTACATTTTAGTCATAGAGATGTAATTTTTCCTCCATTTATTTCTGAAAATACTATTCATGGGCTAAAATAGTGTATAACTTTGTTTATTCATTTATTCACAAAATGTGCTACTAGCTATTTGTAAATTTCAGATAATGTGAGAAATTGTATCTTCAGAGTAAATTGTGATTAACAACACAGTTTGAATGATGACCCTAAAAAATAGTTAATCCTTTTTTTTATGGACCAATTGTAAATTAATACAAAATGAATATAATGACAGAATTTATCATGGTGAAAAGTAAAAAATATTATGTTCCTCAGGACTTAGCAAACTCTTAACATATTCTTTATCAACTTCTGGCCCATGTTGCATGAAGCAGTGCATACGTTTCTACTAAATTAAAACAGAAATTTTAATTTCACATTTATTTAACAGCTTGGAAAGAATCAATGCTTAATTAAATGCAGACAATATAAGGGGTCCAGTTAGCAGCTACAATTTAGGAATCAAGATTAAAACATGTTGACCTCCTCTCATAGAGAGTTTTTGTGTGTGTCTGTTTTTTTTTAACCCGCAAGTAGTTTTATATGATATTTATTTAATATGTAATTTTCTTTTCATTTTAGCTGCAGGATAGAATTAATGATTTAGAAAAGGAACGGGAACTTTTAAAAGAAAACTATGATAAACTTTATGACAGGTAAATCCTGATTCCACGTGTTCTTTCATTGTCTTGTTTGAGCTCTTTTATAGCTAAGCATTTTCTGTTGTCGGAATAGATCATGTTGATCAAAGAATTAGCAACAAATGATAGCAAAAAATATGCAAACGTCATAAAGGAAATAAAAGTTTTTTAAAGGCATTGGTAATAAGCTGTTTAACCTGAGCAGTAGCCTTTCACTACTGAGAAAACCGTATCACTTTGCTGCCAGTCAGCTGCTATCATTTATTGAACATTAACTATAAACTAACAGACACTGTGCTAGATACTCTACATTTTTTGTTATAAATTGTTCACGGCACCTTGAAATGTATGTATCATAAATTCCCATTTTGTAGACAAGAAAGATGAAGCAGAACTAAGTAATGTTAAGAGGCGCTTCCTACCTCTTTTTTTTTTTTTTTGAGACAGTGTCTCAGTCGCCCAAGCTGGAATGCAGTGGCATGATCATGGCTCACTATAGCCTCAACTTCCTGGGCTCACACAAGCCTCCTACCTCAGCTGCCTGAGTAATTGGGACCACAGGCACATGCCACCGTGTCAGATTAATTTTTTAAATTTTTTGGTAGTGATGAGGCCTTTCTATGTTGCTCAGGCTCATCTTGAACTCCTGGTCTCAAGTGATCCTCCTGCCTCAGCCTCCCGAAAGTGCTGAGATTACAAGGCTGCACCCAGCCCATATCTTTTAAATGTATGAAGTCATAGAGCTTGTATTTGAACCTCTTTTGGTCTCTTTCCTAGACTTCCTAGCTTATTAACTGAGCGTTATTCTGTTGGGGAAAAACAAAGCTGTTCTCTGTTCCTTATCAAGAGAAACGCAAGCATTTTCATCTCAAGATAAATATTAAAGGGCTGCTTCAATTTTGTTTCTTAATCTGCTTCATGATTATGGCATTTTAGAAATTAATTCTTTCTGGTAATATTAGAAACAAAATTCTACTCCACATCTAAGTTTGGTTAAGTGATACAGGGGTGTGTGTGTGTGTGTGTGTGTGTGTGTGTGTGTGTGTGATTTTAAGTCTGTTTATATGATACTGGTAAATAATGAATACAAGTTTACATGAAAGCAAATGTAATATGCATTTAAATACATATGTTATAGCTGATATTGAACAGCTACTTCTACTGGTCATGTGCAGAAACCTCAGAAAATACCCATTTGAGCTACAAGTGCATCTTTAACGTTTTAACTCTTTGTCTTATTTTTTATAAATTAAATTCACATTTTGTAAATTAAACAAATCATACCCAAGGAGTGTGGGGATAGGCTTTTATTTTTATTTACTTCAGGAAAGTTACCTAAATTAATGTAGGCATTATTTCAGTGGTTTGTATCATCTATGTTACTTACCTACTTGTGGTGACTGTCTTTGCGCAGTGACTCATTATATTAAGGGTTACCAACAGCAGGTTCAGACAACAGTTAAAATCATATGTGTGTTTATAAGTTTAAATGTCAGTATATAAATTGCACAGCACCCTATTACAGAAGATATTATCCCTATTTTCTAAATGAGGGAATTGGGATTCCAGAAAATTTAAGACTTGTGCAGAGTCAAGCAGCATTGCTGAGATGCTAGTTTAGAACTAAAGCTCAGATGTTTCTTTAACTCTGAAACTTGAATTCTTTTTTTGCAATGCTGCACTGTCTCTCTGATTTTAATTGCATTGGAAAATTGTATATGTGGAAGGGAAGCACTCATGGAATAACAGAATTGTTATACATCTAGAAATTCTTATTAATTTACATATATTTTCAATATCTTGTAATTTCAAATAGTTTAACATAGTCTGAATAGAAGAAAATAAGTATCATATGGCCATTACTTCCAAATTTTCTGCTTCTCCCCAGTTTAAAAATTTGCTGAACATACTTACTTGGAATTTTTTTTAAAAATCAAACTTAGCTGGGAATAATGTATAAGTGAAATTTTGATAAAGTCATGTTTTTCTCATATTTACTTTCCCACCATAAAACTTTATCTTTCCATATTAGAAAATTATCTAAGAGTATAAATTTGAAGGGTTTTTTAAAATATTTCATGCTTGAGCTAACTTTCTTTTTTCTTGTCACACTGAAAGGAGACTTCATTATGCTGCTCACACATGAAGTTTAGGTGAGGTATATGTGTGTAATGAATGTCAAAACATTTAGTGTCAAAAGAAAAATTAATGTCACATAAGCACAAAACCCAACAAACACACGTACTAGTCAACAGAACTAAAGAATTCTCTAATATAATGTTTTTAAATATGTAACACATTTTAGAAGTATACTTGGAGAAACTCAACAGAAGTCATCATCGTCCCTAAGATTCTTTATAGCTCTTTTGTTTCATGACACTGTTATTCATCATTGCCAACAACTCATGTTCATCAAAACTACACATACTCCCTGTTTGGTTAGTCATAATGATGGCAAGTTTTTAAAAGGAGAGCATTTGTTTGTTATTCAAAATTGACTAGTTTTCAGGAGAAAAATATGATTCACAGATTGCATTCTCATCTTCCTTTTTGAAATGAAACTTTGAATGTGTTTATTACTTGACATATGACATATTAGAGAATCATCAGGGAAGATAAAACCCTCATGTTACTTTTTGGTATGAGCCTTTTTTAATTTGTGAAAACACTTTTTAGACACTGCCAAGAAATACGTGTAATTTTAAGAAATGTTTGATTTTTAAGTTCAGAATACATTTTTTTGCAATTATATCTTTCTATTGGGTCAGAGAGAAATGTATACTGTGGTATGTAATCTGGTATTATATTATTATACTATGATTTGGTAATGCTGTGTTCCACTTTTGAAGTTAGTTAGTTTTGGAGTCATCTAACTGATCAGTATAATGGTTCCTCAACTATAATGTATACAAATAACCTGGAAAACTTATTAAAATGTAGGTTTCACCACCTCTTAGAGCTTCTTCTCCTATCTGCCTGCACCCCCTCCCTCTGCCCCCATACCATCCAATTCTAATTCAGTTAATTTGCGACTGGGTCCAAAAAAATCTGTTGAACGTGATTTTTGAGGCATCAACTCCTTGAGAGACACTAATATAATGCCTGTTTTTAAAAAGGGTTCATCTAGTTGTTAAGATGATATTAACCTTTTTAAGAATTGGGTGGATCAAGTTTTTATGAAGTGATAATCATCCTATTCTCAAAATGTAAAAGAGCACTGCTGACACCCATAGATGCTCTGTGCTCTGTTTCTGTAAAGTGAGCATCTGTACCATGTAACCTTCTAGAAACCATAAAATCTCATGTGATCCAATCTGAGCAGTTTATGCTTCCCAGAAATCAAACTCCAAGTACATTTGAGGCATCATCTTCTTTCAGTAAGTGAAATATATCATGTAAATATGAATTTAATTTTCATTAGGCCCTAAATAAAGTACCTATGGTTAAAAAAAAGAGAGAGAAAGAGAGACAGGCCAGGCAAGGTGGCTAATACCCATAACCCCAGCACTCTGGGAGGCCGAGGCAGGTAGATCACGAGGTCAGGAGTTTGAGAACAGCCTGACCAACATAGTGAAACCCCATCTCTACTAAAAATACAAAAATTAGCTGGTAGTGGTGGTGTGCACCTGTAATCCCAGCTACTGAGAAGGCTGAGGCAGGAAGATCTCTTGAACCCAGGAGGCTGAGATTTCAGTGAGCCAAGATCACCCCACTGCACTCCAGCCTGAGCAACAGAGTAAGACTCCATATCAAAAAAAAAAAAGAGAGACAGGATCTTGCCCTGTTACCCAGGCTGGAGGCAGTGGTGCAATCATACCTCACTGTAATCTGGACCTCCTGTACTCAAGCAATCCTCCCACCTTAGCCTCCCAAGTAGCTAGGACTACAGTCAAGTGCCACCACACCTAATTTTTAATTTTATTATTATTATTATTTTGAGACAGAATCTCGCTTTGTCACCCAGGCTGGAGTGTAGTAGTGTGATCCCAGCTCACTGCAACCTCTGCCTCACAGGTTCAAGCGATTCTTCTGCCTCAGCCTCCGGAGTAGCTGGTATTACAGGTGTACACCACCACACCTGCCTAATTATATCTTTAGTAGAGACAAGGTTTCACCATGTTAGCCAGGCTGGTCTCAAACTCCTGACCTCAAGTAATCTGCCCACCTTGGCCTCCCAAAGTGCTGGGATTACAGGCATGAGCCACCACACCCAGCCTTTAATTTTATCTTTTATAGAGCTGGGTTTCTCTATGTTGCCTAGGCTGGTCTTGAACTCCTGGGCTCAAGCCATCCTCCTGCCTCAGCCTCTCAAAGCATTGGGATTACAGGCATGAGCCATCATACCCAGCCACTATGGATTTCTTTCTTTATGGACAATTTTGAATTTATTCTTTCTTAGCCCTCACATTAGGTAGCCCTTAAACATTGTACAAATGAAATTTCTTCTGTAAAAAGGAAAGATCTTAGTGAGTAGGTGAACAATTTGGCTTTATTTAGATCTTTATCATGTTTTTGATAAAGAGTGTCTATTTACAGTGTGCTGACCCATGTCTGCCAGTGGACATGCCACTGATCACAAGCAGCAATGGGCATTCCACTGCCGGGTGACATTTTATCAGTCCTGCAACATCATGTAACAACAAAATGTGTACAAAGACTATGATCCCCCTTCAGTTGTCACTATAGGCAATATTCAAAAAGATTTTCATGAATAAAAGGTTTTCAAAGACTCTCATAAGAGTCTTTTCCATGAAACATTTTCATTTAAAAAAGGTTCTCATATGCAGATTTAATCATGTACACAGCCCTTACAAAGAAAATGGAGCCAGATGTGGTTCACCATTTATAGTTACACAGATGGCTCTAAGCATAGAGAAATACAGTAAATTCAAAAGGAATTCCTCATGAAACTCCAGTGGAATGAAATCCTGAATTTAGAGGGAAGATAGCAGTGGACTAAATTCAGATTGACTTATGCTGATTTACACTAGTATTTTGTGGGTTTGGAAAAACCAGGCTACTAAATTGTTCTTAATTTAAACACGTAAAGCTTCTGATGTTTCTGCCAGATTAGCTGTTGGTGATCTTTTTGCTGGTACTAATGCTATTGGAACACTACTGTTTCTAATTTTTGGCGTCTGATATAATGTATAGTTGTGCCTATTTCATCATGCTAATTTTTTTTCTGGGTGGTACATGTTTTTAATAAAACAAGAAACATGCATATACATACACATATGTATACATAGAAGTATGCACATTCATGCATACGTATGTAAGTGTTTGATATATACAGTTTGGCTATACATAGATATTATATTTGTTCTTTATTTTAGAAACAAACATGAAAAGGAATATTATTTAGTTTAGCATTTAAAATACCTGTTTTATTTGGATTTCATTTAATTCTAGGTCATTGTACCTTTGATAAAATCAACTTAAATAATTGATATATAGATCCTACATTTTTTTAAGATTCCATAAGTGAAATGAAAACACTGATAAAAGAAACAGATGTCATATTTAGAGAAGCTTCCAGAATTCCATTTATTTTCAAGGTCATGTTATCTTAAATACAGTAAAAATATTCAAAATGTGAAATGAATACACAACTTTGCTCTTTTGAAAAGCTATGCCTCCCAGAAAAGTATCTTTTTGGAATAAAAACTGAAAGACTGTCTGGGAGCCACATTAGGGGAATTTCCAGTCATATGTTTCTTTTCCATTTACTTCATCATCAGTGTAAAACCAGATTTTATAAGATTTTGTTATATTTACTGGGCTTAAAATATGTAGAATGGTCAAAGCTACTAATGATTATTCATCAAGCTTCACAGATAATGCTTTTCTGCTGAAATATAGATCAAGATCAGTTTTTCCAAAACCTGGCTATCATCTGGGAAGCTTTATAAAAATATGAATACCTGGGTCCTGGGATCTTCATTTTAAAATCTCCCTAAGTGTCCTTACTGCAGCTGACCCACCACTGGTATTTAGGTCAGCATTTAGGAACCACTGGCATGAACAAGTGTTTATTGTATACTTTCTGTGCATCATTTAGTTATTTTTTAAGTGGTTCTTTCTTTTGATATGCTGGGTCTTGATCATTAGCAGATTTAAACTACTACACTTTTATTGAGGAATAGTAATTCTATTGTCGTCATTCTTACCAGGAACAGAGAAGTGATTTTCATCCCAATCATGTTACAAGTAAAACTATTTTTAGCCTATTGTTTTTGGTTTTTTAACAAAAATTATATTATCACTACTTTTTAATCAATAACAAAATGACTGACTTGTGGTTCAATATGCTATCATTTTGTGGCCAGTATTTTGTGAACATGTTATTATCACAGACTCTTTAAAAAGCTTCACAGAATTAAAGATCAGGTGGAAAGTCCATTTTCTCTGTATTAAGAGGTTTGTATGTGGGAGAGAATGGTTTTGTCCAATGTCAATTGCTGAGGTTTGGAATTGTAGATTCCTCTGGAGTATGGACAGTATCTGAATTCCTTTACTAGTCCCACAAAAGCTGCACACTGCCAACTTTTCTGACTTTGGAGCTCTAAATTAAGGCCAGTTCCTTTGCTCATCCCACAAACTCTTTCATGTTCCTTAACCGCAGCCTGAGAAAGGCGCCTTGGTTTCAACAGCAGCAGACCAGCTTATGTTTACTTAATTCCTAAGACATGATGACAGTGGTCTCTGTGCCACTAAAAGCTTTTCTCTTTATTATTTTCGGTTGAAGCTGATTTCCAAGCTTTCCTTGCATGTCACGTGTGTTTTGCAGTGCCTTCAATGCTGCCCATGAAGAGCAATGGAAGTTAAAGGAGCAGCAGCTGAAAGTACAGATTGCTCAGCTTGAGACTGCCTTGAAATCTGACTTAACAGACAAAACTGAAATCCTTGACAGATTAAAAACTGAAAGAGGTACATGTAAAATAATCATTGTCTTACTCATTTCAGACATCTAATGTTTCTTTATTGAATCAATCAATACTTACTCTGGTGCCTACTGTTTGCCAGTCGCCCTGCGATTTGTGAGGGACAGGTATAGTCATCTACTGTCATGAATTTAGTGGTTGCTCAAAATGTCTCATTACTCAGCCTAGTGTATATGCCAAAAGAATTGCTTTTTCTCATAGCTATTCATATTTAGGTTGTTTTTAATTGTTAAGTTTTCCTAAATTCTGAGCCTTTCTTTACTCAACAGTCAACAAATATTTATTGAGCACCTTTTAGTGCTAGGCACTGTTCTAAGTTCTGAGGATACAAAAATGATCAGAAATGAAAAGGTCTTGCCCTTATCAAATATAAATTCAATAGGGAGAAACTAACAATTAAATAAATATGTAATATGTGATTTGGTGGCAAGTGTAATATCACAAAACTACTAGTGTAAGATGACAGAGAGTGGCAGAAATAGTAACTTGCTTTTTTTGAGAGTCCAAATAGGGAATATCTCTCTGATGAGATGTCTTAATTCTACTGTGTGACAGTGAACTTAAATACCAGGAAGCTGTGTGCCCCTGCTAAAATAATAATCACTAAGTTTCCGTATAAGTCACAGATCTCATAGAAGTCAAATAATTATAATTTTAAAAGTCTGAATTTTACTGTGTTACTCACATTTACACACAAATGCACAACAGGGGAAATGAATTATTTGCTTCAAGTTTTGTTATCTGTTTGTTCATGCCCTAGATAAACCAAGTCTATGCTAAGAAGGTTGCTTCCTTTGAACATTTGCAATTCAGTTGCATGAGAATGATTAAAAGTTTAATACAGGCTCACTATAAAACAGTTATGTTTATAGTTAGTGTTGTTATGCTTTTATTTAGACCACAATGCCATATTTCACTGACTATAAGGAACATTATCTTTTCCTATGTTAACATCTCCAATATTGAGTTGCATCATACAAGTGATAGCATTTTTTAAATTGCAGTCTGACATTTTTTTCGCATTGTAGCAAGTCTGAAATTAGAACATATCTTATAATCAATGGAGTCTTAATTTCAGTGAAACACACTAGTGCAGTGTTTATTCACCAACTGACTACATTTGATGATAGATTTTTTATGAAGTTTTCTCTACAAGACTGTGAGTGGAATAACATGGTGATGACAGGTTTTCTGAACTAGTGGATTTTTTTTAAAGTTTTCATATCAAGATACATACAGTTCCTGATTTTAATGTGCAGTATCAAATACCTAACAGAGTGCTTTGCCTGAGTACTTGTGCAATAAATTCTTGTTTAGGTAAAAAGTGGGAGTGCTCTATATTCCTTCGCACTTTTCCAAGAACAGATAAATTGCTCATTCTTAAAGGGAAAGAAATGAAATAAACCATTTTTATCTCTATGCTTTCTGTATTTACTTAAATATCAAGAACTCCAAAGCTGTTACCTTTTGAATATCTGAACTAATCTCTACAAAGAAGCTTTTCTTAGGGGGGTAGAATCTTAGGGGTCTTTAGACCTGTTTATTGTCCTTGAATTAATTCTGAGTATTCTTACTAAGTATTACGGTTGCTAAGTTATTTTAATTTACCTAGTTTATTCCTCATCTTTTTTACTGGTTCTTTTATCTTTGGGGAATTTTTTTCAATAATAAACATAACTCATGTACACTATGAAAAAAGTCTAGTAGGTAAATTATAAAAATCAATTCTACAACCCACAAAATATTAGCAAAATAATCACTGCTAATATTTATGTCCTTTCAGAATTATTTCTAAATGTATATAGTTTTATAATGTGCCTTTTTTTGCTATATTATAAAATCATTCCTTGAATATAAATATAAATCTACATCAGAATCATTTATAATGGCTGTTACAGTTTTTCAGTGTGTGAATGGACCCTGGGTTATTTAACAATCTTCTATTGAATATTTAAGTAGCTTCAGTTTTCTTAAGTACCACAAACTATATCTTTCTACACAAATTTTTACACATTTATCCAATTATTTTGGATAAAGAAAAACTGCTAGAACTGAATCTTTATTTTTAATGCAACTATTATTTTCCATTTATTTTTGTTTGAATACCTCAAATTTACAAGTCCAAGGATTCAAGTTTTTGTTTCTTTGTGGAAATGTTACAATGGGTTATAAGAAAAATATTACAGCCTTTAACCATTTTTTCCAGGGAAATAATACACAAAAAAAACCCTGAAACTGTCTATATAAAAAAATCTTTTAATATTTAGAAAGTTCCATTTTGTATTACAGATTTTGAAATTGTTTAATTTTACTTTGAAGTGTCTTCATACATTTACCCTCTCATGTATCAAGTGTTCTTTGCCAGAAGATGTTTCCCTGGCTTCTTGTAGTCATTCATCTAACTGGCAAATTATTTTTAGAGAATACTCACCTCTTTATTCAAGGTACAAATTAGTTTCAGATTGTGTGAATATGTGGGGGAAGGATATGTAAATGCAGTTTGCATTTGGTTAATACTTAAATTAACTGCATGTGTTTAAGGGCTTGCTTTTGAAAGTTCCTTTCTATCTTTAGCTGAAATGCATAATTCAGCATAATGCATATGGTTATATTGATCACAGCTGAAGATATTAGCACAAAGGCGCTCTGAAAATTGTTTAGTTGAATTGTTCTCTGCACTCTGCTTATTAATGGTGTGCTGAAAGAACATAATTTTAAAAGAGTGAAATGTTATCTCATTTGAATAAAATGCTGTTTAGCTTAACCTGCTTTTTGTCAAATCATAAGGTAAGGAGGTTATTTTTCATCTTGTACAGAGTGCTTTGATTTTGCCTATTATAATTCAGCAAGTATATTTCCTCTTTGAACTATAGCATTTCAGTACTTTTTAAAGACCCAGGAGTTATGTCTCAAATAAGCAGTTTGAGAAAGGAAAGATGTAGTGGATAATTCTAAATAAAATTCAGTAGAAGGTAAGTTACTGGTACTCAGTAATGTCTTTTCCCACTGTTATTTTTCTACTAATAATGCCCGTGTTTAAAAAAAATCAGTGAATGTAGATATCGTTGTTGAAACAAAAATTAGGAAAGGCTGGAAACATTCAAATAAGTTTATTTCTACCTAATGACATATAGGAACCCTGTTCTGAAAAATTAAAAGGAAAAGAAAACTAGAACATAGAAATAATGATCAAAATACAGTGTGTCTGGATAAACATGGAACAGTCAGGTCCTTTACACTTTAACTGACTCTTAGAAACCCTGAAATGTTTTACTGGCCAGAGAATAAAATTGTTATCCTCAGTACCTTTGTTTTTACATACTTCAGACTATATTTACCTTCTTTTTGTTACCTCACCATTCTATCTAGATGTCATTTTAACTTAATCAACGTAAAGACTCCCATATCCTTATTCTATTCCCTAAAAAAAAGTTTATTTTATTTGCATCCATATTTATTATTCATCTTAATTTTTAGTTTAAAGACAAGTATTTGATCTATACCTTCAAAGTTTTCAAGTATTGTTCACATTTGGGTATTATTTTCTCTAGTTAACTAGATATAAGCAATTTATACTCTAGGATAATCTTTTAACCTTCTATCAATAAGACAAAAATGTTTATACAGTATATTTGGTTTTTGTTTTTTGTTTTGAGACGGCGTCTCACTCTGTCACCCAGGCTGGAGTGCAATGGCGCAATCTTGACTCACTGCACCCTCCGCCTCCCAGGTTCAAGCGATTCTCCTGCCTCAGCCTCCTGAGTAGTTGGGATTACGGGTGCTTGCCAGCACGCCCAGCTAATTTTTGTATTTGTAGTAGAGACAGGGTTTCACCATATTGCTCACGCTGGTCTCAAATTCCTGACCTCGTGATCTGCCCGCCTTGGCCTCCCAAAGTGCTGGGATTATAGGCATGAGTCACCGTGCCCTGCCTTGGTATTAAAATGTCTCTGTATTGCCTAGGATCACAGGGGGTTTTTTGTTTATGTTGTTTTTGTTTGTTTTTGGTTTGATTTGGTTTTTTACTTTTTAGACTGCCAAGAAATATGTGATATTAAAAAAATACAAGTTTAGCCCATTTGTTCCTAACTGTGTAATTTAACATTTTTATTTATATATAGTATTTATAACTTGGAAACACAATGCCTTATAAAAGTCAGAAACATATTTCTGTTTAAAATGCAGTCAGTATGCAAATACATTTGTGCAAAGAATTCTTGGCAAATGTGTTGATTTTTCTAAGAAATGGAAACAAAAATATGCAGTGATAAACATAAATGGTTGAGAGAAGGGTGAAATTGGCAGAGATACTTTAGATGACATGGTTTAGCGTTAGCCCGTGGGGAGTCAACAAAGGAGATACCTGAGTGCCACAGTGAGCTCTAGCAAAGAGTACATTTAAGAATGTCAGATTAACAAATGCTGTGGATTTGTTCACTAGCTATTATGCTTTCTTAAAAAAACAGAATAAAAGCTAAACATGTTTAATGCAGGGAGTGAAAAATTAGTCTCTTTATGAATTTGTTGTCTTCTAAAATTCTACTCTACTCTCTTGCTTGTGGGTCCTGGCAACAGAGTGCCTAGACAAGCATAACCATTGTTCCATTTCTTAGCACCAGCTCTAAGTCCATTCCTACTGATTATAGCATGAACTCAGTGAATAAAGAATACATATGAATTTATTTATTTTTTTGGGACAGGGTCTTGCTCTGTTGCCCAGACTGGAATGTAATGGAACAATCACAGCTCACTGCCTCAACTTCCCAGGCTCAACTTATCCTCAACTTATCAACTTCCCACCTCAGCCTCCCAAGTAGATGGGACTACAGCATGCACAACCATGCCCAGCTAATTTTTTTTTTTTTAATTTTGTAGAGATGGGATCTCCCCGTGTTGCCCAGGCTGATCTCAAACTCCTAGACTTAAGGAATTCTCCTGCCTTGGCCTCCCAAAGTGCTGGGATAATAGGAGTGAGCCACCATGCCCAACCCACATGAATCATTATTGATACCACCATGCACAGCTTAAGACTCCATTCCTCCTATTGTAATAGACCTGTTGGAAGTGTGGTTGTCTAAATTACAGATTCAGAATTTATCAAAGAAATTACCTTACCTTTTAATTTTTTTATTTTTATGAATTTAGAGGGGGGTACAAGTACACTTTGGTTACATGGGTATATTACATAGTAGTGCAGTCTGGACTTTTAGTGTAACCATCACTGGAATAATGTACATTATACCCAACAGATAATTTCTCATCCCTCACCCCCCTACGATGTTCTGGAAGTTACCTTGTTTTAATAAAGATACTATATGCTAAGTTGGGAAAATAAAATTCAAAGATGTCCATTAAAAAACTAAAAGACAATTTTTTTTCACATGCTTTTCAGGACCCTTAATAAGTAAGTAAAAAACCATAGATTTAGAAACACATTTTCTCAGGTATTTTAAATAGAACATTCCTTTGAACTCCCAGAGACCACAATTTCCTTATATTTACATTGTGAACTTATGTCTTGGGTTTTCGATAAGCAGATGAATCATATGGTAGACACATGATAGTGTTCATTTATTCCTCATTCCCCTGCTGTCTTTGTCGAGGTGCTAGCACTGTTTCCTTTCTGACCAGAACAATACTAGATCAAGATTGGTGTGTAACAGGAATTAAAGTAATTTGAAATGTGTTCTTAAACCTGATTTGTACTTACGTTTCCAATTCTGTTGACTTTATTTTAAGACCAAAATGAAAAACTCGTTCAAGAGAATAGAGAACTGCAGTTACAGTATCTGGAACAAAAGCAACAACTTGATGAACTTAAAAAACGCGTGAAATTTTACAACCAGGTGAATTATTTTCTTATTTAGGAAATAAAACTCAGAATTTTTATCTCAATATTTTATGCATACAGAAAGCACTATACTACAAAGCGAAATAATTCAGATATATTACTCAGTTTATTAACTCATGTTATCAGGTAGTTTATATTCCATAGGGATATTCTGAAGCGCTGGAATGTCTCATAGACTTAGTTGGTTAGTTCATGGCATCAGGCAGCTTATGTTTCATGAGGATAATTTGAATAATTGGAATGTCTCTTGTGTTTTCCATCAATAAGTCATTGTGAGCTTTTATTTAATCCATTGTAGGAGAATGATATTAATGCTGATGAATTGAGTGAAGCTCTCCTACTTATAAAGGTAAAGTTCTGAACTTCGTTGTGATTTTCATGTCTGCCTACAACTGTTTCAGCATAATGGTGACCCTTATCTGTAAGCCTTATATCTGGAGAATGAATTATTCTTGCATCTTCTGAAACTTAGTATGTCCTTTATAAATATATATGTCATATCAACACTACTGACTCAGGAAAGTGGTCAGGTGACATTTAGTTATAGCATATACATATTTCATAATGACATCAAAGTTACATTAAAACAGACCTCAAAAACTTTCATTTAATACACTGTCTTTAATTGTAACAAACATTTTACTTTTATCTGCTTCACTGTGTAATTAATCAACAATTTTCTGCCCTAAAAATCCTTGATGCACACCCTGTTAAGTAAAATATTGAATTATAAATATCTCAAGAAGATGGTTTTTAATTCTAGAATATTCTATTATTTACGAAAAGAGACAAAAAGTACACTTCTTTTCTTTTAGATTACGGTGTAGATTTTAACCAAATGAAGAAATAAAATTAAATATACATGATTCTTTTATGTGTCATAAAGTAACAAACTGTTTTCTGATTTCTCTACAACTGTTCCAATTGTCTAGCCAAATATTTGAATCTGATTAACAGGTAAATTCATTTTTTCCATCAGGAATGAAGCAGTCGTGATATATATATTATATATATGTGATATGTGTGTGTGTGTGTGTGTGTATGTATGTATGTATATATATGTGTGTATGTGTATATATATGTATGTATGTATGTATGTATATGTATATGGACTTCCTTTATCTGTTTTCAATTAATGAAGTTGAAAATTGATGAATTGATGAATTGTTTATTGATAAATCTATAGTAATTCACAAAATCACATTTTAGAAACGTTTTTTTCATTAATAAAACATGTTTTTATTTTAGGCTCAAAAAGAACAAAAAAATGGGGACCTTTCCTTTTTAGTGAAAGTAGATAGTGAAATTAATAAAGATCTAGAACGCTCTGTGAGAGAGCTGCAAGCAACTCATGCAGAAACAGTGCAAGAGCTTGAAAAGACAAGAAATATGCTAATTATGCAACATAAAATTAATAAAGATTATCAGGTAATGTAATACACTAAATTGGGAGAGGAAGTTTTCTATAATCTGCTGATGATTTACTTTTCTAAATACAATATGTTATCACCTATTATATTATCTATTAACATCTATTGTAATCTATTAACATATCACATCTCTAGAATGTAGCCTTGTAACTAGGTACTTAGTTAGAATAAATAATTTTAAAACAAATAATGTAGGTTATTTTTCTGTTTTTTTTTTGAGACAGAGTTTCACTCTTGTCGCCCAGGCTGCAATCCCAGGGCATGATCTCAGCTCACTGCAACCTCCATCTCCTGGGTTGAAGTAATTCTCCTGCCTCAGCCCCCCAAGTAACTGAGATTACAGGTGCCCGCCACCACATCCAGCTGATTTTTGTATTTTTAGTAGAAACGGGGTTTCACCATGTTAACCAGGCTGGTCTCGAACTCTGACCTCATGTGATCCACCCTCCTCAGCCTCCCAAAATGCTGGGATTACAGGCGTGAGCCACTACTCCCAGCCACAAGTAATGTTTTTGAAGTCCCTGATTTTAGGGAATGAGTAGTGGCAATGAAGTTGCCTCTATTAGTGTTAGCACATTCTGCAAGTAAGTTACAGTTATCCTGAAGTCATGCCACAACTGCATTGTGTTCGCTTTTCACAAAATGAAAACTCATCTCCATAAAAGAATCTGGAGTTTTATCCTACTTCTGATTTGTGAATATTGCCAAGCATAATTTTCTAAAGTGTAAGCTATTTGAAGTAAAGAAATCATTGTTTATACAGCTCCTATTTCCAGGATCTAGAAAATACTTGAATCATAGTTGCTTTGAATAATGAAAATAGAACTAATCATAAGTATTAAAACTTATTATCTCATATTTTGTAGATGGAGGTTGAGGCAGTGACCCGTAAGATGGAAAATTTGCAGCAAGATTGTGACCTCAAAGTGGAACAGTATGTTCATCTTCTAGATATTAGGGCTGCACGCATCCAGAAGCTAGAAGGTACAATATACACAATTTTTTTGTCCACAGTAACTAGAGGAATGGATTTTATAACAGTTGATAATGTCATCAAAATCTGCGCTTAGAGTATATTTTTGCTGTGTTTTTCCCTAATTTATAGCTAGCTCACTGCAGCTTTTACCTCCTGGGTTCAAGCAGTACTCCTAATTTTTAGATTTTTTGTAGAGCCTGTGTTGCCCAGGCTTATCTCAAACTCCTGGGCAAAAATGGTCCTCCTGTCTCGGCCTCTTAAAGTTTTGGGATTACAGACTCGAGCCACCTTGTCCAGCCTTGATTCTTTTCTACTCAAGAATTTTTTTTTTTAATTGCATTTTAGGTTTTGGTGTACATGTGAAGAACATGCAAGATAGTCGCATAGGTACACACGTGGCAGTGTGATTTGCATTTCTCCCCATGCTATCTCTGGCATTTCTCCCGATGCTATCTCTCCCCAACTCCCCACCCCCTGCTGTCCCTCCCCTATTCCCCCCAACAGACCCCAGTGTGTAGTACTCCCCTCCCTGTGTCCATGTGTTCTCATTGTTCAACACCCGCCTATGAGTGAGAACATGCAGTATTTCATTTTCTGTTCTTGTGTCAGTTTGCTAAGAATGATGGTCTCCAGATTCATCCATGTCCCTACAAAGGACACAAACTCATCGTTTTTGATGGCTGCATAATATTCCATGGTGTATATGTGCCACATTTTCCCTGTCCAGTCTATCATTGATGGGCATTTGGGTTGGTTCCAGTTCTTTGCTATTGTAAACAGTGCTGTAATGAACATTCGTGTGCATGTGTCCTTATAGTAGAACGATTTATAATCCTTTGGATATATACCCAGTAATGGGATTGCTGGGTCAAATGGAATTTCTATTTCTAAATCCTTGTCTACTCAAGAATTTTTAGTAATTCCTACTGCTTTTTAAATTCAGTGTTGCAAACAAGATTTCAAAGCACTTTGTAAATTACTACAGACTCAAATTTACCACCCCTTTCTGATTTCTCTCCTAAGCAACCTGTGCACCTCAGCCAAACAGGTCCTCTGCCTGCTCTTTGCAGATATGTCATGCTCAGGCCAATGCCACGCCTTTTTTTCTTGCTGTTTGCTCTGCCTAAACCTCCTTTCTGCCGTGATTCCAAGGTACACACTTCACTGCTTTGAAATCTAACACAATGCTCACCTGTGCTAGGAAGCTGGTTCTGATTATTCCTAGCTATCCCTCTACTTGAAATGCCTTTACAGTGATTTTCAGACTCTAGCAAGTAGGAAAATTACTTGAGAAACTTGTTTAAAATGTAGTTTCCTGGGCCCTACCCCTAAGAGGTCCTGGGTCCCATGCTTTTTTTATGTTGTATTTAGAAATAACTGCAAGCTATTCAGATGCAGATGCAAGACTACATATTGAAAAAAACTAGCTCAGCCCTACCAACCCAGTTTTCTCATGTACTAAAAAGCTTTATGTTTAGGGAGCAGGTAAGTGTTCTTCACTTGTTGGAGTTTTGCATATTCTCCATAACCACAATGTAAGTTCTACAGTGATAAGTACTTTGTCTCTCTTTCATGTCCACTGCATACCGTACTTACTTCAGTGGTCTATGCCAGCAGGAATTTTACACTCTTAAAGCTTATTGAGGTTTGAGAAGGCCTTTATTCGTGAGTTATACTTACTGATATTTATCATTACAGAAATTAAAAGTGAAAAAAATTTTTAATATTTTTAATTCATGTTAAAATAATAATAAACTTTACATGTTAATAGAAATTGCAGTACTTATTGTTTTTAAGTTATATTTTCCAAAACAAAAAACATACTATGAGAAGAGGGGCTTTGTTTAAAATTTTTTAAATTTTTAACATTTTCACAAATCTTTTTAGAGACTGGCTTAATAGAAAACAGCTGGATTTTTATCTCTGTTTCTGCATTTAATCTGTTGTGATGTCACACATCATGTAACCTCCAAAAAACTCCATTATACACTTGTAAGAGGATAAAAGTGAAAAGGGCAGATGACATTTTAGCATTATTATAAAAATAGCTGTGACCTCACGGACCCCCAAAATGGGTTTTAGAGACCTTCGGGGGTTTCCAAACCACACTTTGAGAACCTCTGATCTGGGTAGATCTGGGTAGAGGAGCTCAATAAATGTCTTTATCTGACAAAACAGGGCTTTCCAAAAGTCAAGGAGCAGTGTGTACCTTTTATTCCAAGTAGTACTCAATAAAAATTTGCTTAATGGAATTTTCTTGGTTAAAAGGGAGGTCACAGAATTTGGGATTTTCTTTCAAGTCTTACTAAATTTTTACCATCATATTTTATCTGTCCCCTAAATTCATTGATTCACTCCATAAACATGATTAAGCCCCTAATGCATCCTAAGCGAAGTGCTGAGCAGGGAGAATACAAATAGGAAAAATCTGAGGCACTCAAATTTTCTTCTACCCTCATAGAACTTATAAGATGTTAACAGGTAAATAAATGGTTATGCTTTACTATGAAGAGTGTAAAGCTAAGGAAATCTAAAGGTGTCAAGGAAACATTGAAGAGAGAATGCCTATTTCTACCTCAAGATTCAGGGGAGACTTCACACAGTAGGTATGGAGCCTTTGAAGATGACAGAAGTCACTACTAAGTAAAAGTAATATAAGGCATTGCAGGCAGTAAGCAAAGCAGGGAAAAGTACCCTAAATATGAATGAAGCATTGCAATACATTTGAGAAACTGCACTGTAGATCCATCCAGTTGGAATTCAGGAAAGTCAAAAAGAAAGGAGAACATAGAGATAAAGCTAGAAGAAACAAAATCATGAAAGTCCTGTTTGCCATCCTGATTGATGAGGTAGGACCTCAATAACCTGGAGAACTGCTACGGGATTTTAAGATAGGGAGGGATACACTCAGAATTGCATTTTGGTGATTATGCTACAGGTATTGAGGAGAAAGAGGAAGATTTGAAGGAAGGAAGCATTTTGAGTTCCATAATAATCTAGGTAGTAAACTCGGAATATAAATTAGGTACAGTGCAAATAGTGAGGACAGGAACAGATTTGTTGAAGAGTTAGGACATAGCATTGAATAGTAGTGACCCTATAGATGTAAGGCAAATAAAAGAAAAAGAGGTGCTGTTTTATGATAGTCTCAAGAAAGGAAAAAGGGACATCTAGGTTGACTCTCTGAGATCCAGCTTGGGCAACTGGATGAATAAATGAATCATCACTTGAGATTTAAAGTACAGAAATAGCAAGAAGACAATATGGGTCAGGCGCAATGACTCACACCTGTAATCCCAGCAATTTGGGAGACTGAGGCAGGTGGATCACTTGAGGCCAGGAGTTCAAGACCAGCCTGGCCGACATAGCAAAACACTGTCTCTACTAAAAATATTTTTTAAATTAGCCAGGTATAGTGGCAGGTGCCTGTAATCCAAGCTACTCAGTAGGCTGAGGCAGGAGAATCACTTGAACCTGGGAGGCAGAGGTTGCAGTGAACCGAGATTGTGCCACTGCACACTCCAGCCTGGGTGACAGAGTGAGACTCCATCTCAAAACAAAGACAATATCATAATTCTGTTTCAGACATGTTGAGTGGGATATGCCTGTGGGATATCTAGATAGATAGAGGGGTAAGCAAAACATTAGAAATATAGGAATGGAGTTGAGAAGATAAATATGAATTTAAAATAGCAATATGGAAGCCTTTAGAGTACTGATAATGACAGAAGTCATAAAAGTTGATGAGATCACTCATGAGAATATGTAGACTAAGAAAATAATTAAAAACAGAAGCCCAGAAAACTAGCAGAGAAATCCGAAAAGAATGAGAAGGACAGGAGGAGAAGCAGAGAAGATGACGACATGGAAGCCCAGGTAGGACAGAAGTTCACCAGTGGGAAAGCTGTCATCAGTAGCAAATGCAGCAAAGAAATCAGGTAATGCAGGGACCAGTGTTCATTGCATCTAGCCATTCATTGATTGTCGGTGGCTTTCTCTGGAGCAATTCCACAGAAAAGTAAGGCAGATATCCACGTTGGTGAGATTTGGTTGGCCTGTGTATACAGCCATGAAACCAGCATCATGATCAGGATAATTAACATATCCATCACCCTATGAGAAGAAAAGCACAAGGCTCAGTAAGTTAAAGGGAAGGAGGCGGCGGAAAGAGAGACTGCCTTTATAGGAAAGAAGGCAGTGGGTGGCGCAGAGACAGGGAAGCAGGTGAAATCCAAGTAGTTACCTCAGCTGTTCATTCAGAGGTCTTTTTTCTTTTGATATTTTTCTCCCCTTTTTCCTAGCTTAGGCTGTATTAGGTTACAATTTTGTTGTTGCCTAGTAAGTGACATCAAAACAGAAATGATACATTTTTACACGATAAAGCATTATTTACAGAAAAACAGTGTAGTGATAGAATTTTAAATTGAGACTATTCACCAGAAGTACTCAGACTTCCTACCACTTCAAAAGCCAGTTTTCATTTTCTTATGTCAATATTTTGAAATCTCTAAACTGTCTTCTCTTGCAGCCCAATTAAAGGATATTGCCTATGGCACCAAGCAGTACAAATTTAAACCAGAAATCATGCCAGATGACTCTGTTGATGAATTTGATGAAACCATCCACTTAGAACGAGGCGAAAATCTTTTTGAAATCCATATCAACAAAGTAACCTTTTCTTCTGAAGTTTTACAGGCATCTGGAGATAAAGAGCCTGTCACTTTCTGTACCTATGCTTTCTATGATTTTGAACTACAGATAACGCCTGTAGTGCGAGGCCTTCATCCCGAATACAACTTCACTTCTCAATATCTTGTTCATGTTAATGACTTGTTTTTGCAATATATTCAGAAGAATACTATCACCCTCGAGGTCCACCAAGCTTATAGCACAGAATATGAAACAATTGCAGCATGTCAATTAAAATTTCATGAAATTCTTGAAAAAAGTGGCCGAATATTTGGTACAGCAAGTTTGGTTGGTAAGTACAATGTATAATCTTTGGGTGTTTGAATTACTAATTTGGTTCATATATCGATAGAAAAATAGACTGGTGAACAAAAAGGCCAGAGAAGTTAGTGCCCTAACAAGGCCATACAACCTCCGTGAAGGAGACATGGGGCCCTACTCTCCTGGGAGCCATACAGGAAGTCCTCCCCACAGAAGAGACATGAAGAGCTGCCTGAGTTGAGAGGAGTTCCAAGGGTGTGCAGGGCAAATATCATGCAAGGATATACTGCATGAGCATGTATTTTGCATAGCTGTATTTTCTCCTATGCTTGTGATAGAGTATAGAAATGGGATGGTGCCAGATATGTCTTGAAACTTGAATTAGAATGTGGAATGTCATATTTATAATTTTGAGGTTTAATATTGTAAATGTCAGACAACATTGAGTGCAACTTGTTTTTTAAAAAGTATTATACTATCCCATCAAAAAAAATCTGTGGAATATGTAATTCAATGTTTAGATTTTTGTTTTTTTGAGATGGAGGCTTGCTCTGTCGCCAGGGTAGAGTGCAATGGCCCGATCTCAGCTCACTGCACCCTCCACCTCCCAGGTTCAAGCAATTCTGCCTCAGCCTCCAGAGTAGCTGGGACTATAGGCGCGTGCCACCACACCCAGATAATTTTGTATTTTTACTAGAGACAGGGTTTCACCATTTTGGCCAGGATGGTCTCGATCTCCTGACCTTGTGATCCACCTGCCTCGGCCTCCCAAAGTGCTGGGATTACAGGTGTGAGCCACTGCGCTCAGCCTAGATTTTTAAAATATATTTCAGAAGGAATGAAATAGTATAAATTACAGTATCTCAAATATAGTTTGATGTAGTTCTTTAATAATATTTAACATACAATGAAACGAATACTTCAGAAGTAACTGTTTTCTTCATCTGTTTTTTGCCAATCTCACATTATTTGTGCAAGTCGTTATTTTACTCAGTGTAACATGTATAGTTTTAATGCATAATGCCATTGATGTATTTTTTACTGGGATATATTGTAATGTGTGAAGCGATTTTAACCTTGGGTTATGGATTGATTTGCAGGAACTAAAGGAGACATCCTAAATTTTGGTACAGTGGAATACTGGTTCCGATTAAGAGTTCCCATGGATCAAGCAATTCGACTTTATCGAGAACGGGCAAAGGCTTTGGGATATATAACATCAGATTTTAAGGGGCCAGAGCATATGCAGTCGGTAAGCTTGTTTGGCTTTAAGACCCTTTTATAACATAGAAGTTTTATAATATTTATTTATATGTCATGCTTTGAACTGAAATCATTTTCTTTCGCAGCCATCAAGTGGCTTTTTTTAACTTTTTATTTTGAAGTAATCATAAACTCACAGGAAGTGGTTAAAAATAGTACAAAGAGGTGCCCTGTAACCTTCACCCAGTTTCTCCTAATTGTAACAGCTTACATAACTATAGTATAATTTCAAAATTGAGAAATTGATACTGGTACAGTACTATGAACTAGGCTACATACGTTACTCAGATTTCATCAGTTATACATGCACTCATTTGTGTGTGTGTGTGTGTGTGTGTGTGTGCATGTATGTATGTAGTTATTCTTTGCAGTTTTATCACATGTATAGATTCATATAACTACCACCACATCCAAAATACAGAACGGTTCCATCAATACAAACAAACTCCCTTGTGCTACTGAGGACACTTTTGAAAAATTAATAATCATAATACTGTCGTCACACATCAAGAGACTTTTGTTAACAATTTCTACTGTTAAGGAAATAAACAGCTATTATTAGACTATCAGTTATTGTCCTTTCAAATTATTTCTTCATGTTAGGTTTCTGAAGTGCAAAGTAGAATACAAAATTAATATTTTCTTTCTGAGAACTGAGAATTTAAATGCAATTCCTGAGGGAAGCATTTCCCAAACAATGTTTCATGGAGTCTCAATTACAATATTTTCAAATTAATTCCATGATCTAATAAATGCAGAAAACCCTGAATTGAGCAAGGTTAAATAGGATTCTTGACTTTAGGAGTTCTCATATATAACACGAATCTTAATAGACTATGGACATTGAGTAACAGAGGGATAGGATATAGTAGAAACATTTGGTATGTCTGCTCAAGTCATAATTATCTTACCTCTTTTTCTTTGGGAGCTCTCTCACCTCCAATCTGTGGGGCTGGGCTCCCAGTGGCCGGGTTTATGTTAGCAGATCCCATTTTCTTTCACTCCCCACGCAATTATAACTAATGATTTGGGAATATCCGCTTGACCTCAGTTGAACCAATCAGATTCTGCCCTCCGAGATCAAAAGAAAGCAAGACATACCTGGAACACTTAAAACTGGGGGCTATGGGCAGCCATTGTCTGCCATGTTAAACAGCGAAGGTAAGACATTGGGTCTGAAGAAAGAGACTAACGAACGAACATACAGAAAAAAATGGAGACCAGATGGAGAGGACATTCTGCTGGTTTTCTAGGCCACTACCTTCTGAAGGCCCAACCACATTTCTACTATATATTCCATGAAATATTCTGTTGCTTTAAAGTCCTTTTTTTGTTGTTTTTCCTAAGTATAATTCATTTCTATGACTTTCAGTTAAAGAAGCATGACTAATAACACACTGATTCCCAAACTTAACAAAGAGTGCAACTGCTTTCAGACACCATCTTTTTGGCCAGTATTCCTTACAACATACTTTGGGAAATGCTTTTATGGAGATGGGAATTAGAACTAAGGACACCACACTGTTTGGTTTTGTAGTTTAAAGCTTTTTAGACTCCTGGATTCTGACTTGAATATGTTGTTTCCTGGTGGAATTTCACCTCTGGTGGATAGATTGAAGGAGAGAAGTGGAGGTACTTTTTCAGTCATTTCACTTAGTCTTCTATGGCTGAGAGCACACTACCCCTGGGAAAGCAATATTGTGATTCCCTTCTTTGGTTTCTCCTCTCCACACATCAGATTTCTTCACTAAGGAGATAATGATGACAGCTTAATTTTTTCCTCCTCCAATAAACTTCTCATGGAGTCAGGGTCCCACATGCTCAATCCAGATTCAGAAACACAGAGGGATGCCTTAAGATAAGTAGAGAATTCTCCAGCACTGAACCAAACAAAGCACAGAAGCACTAGCATTTTCTTTGTTCCAGATCTCATCAGCCATGGAAGATTTAACAGCACAATTGCTTTATAAAATACCTTGTGCCATCCATCTCAGTAATAGTTCCAAAGGAACCATTGAGTAGTTTCCGGTTCTACCTAATAACTCGTTGTTCATCTCTCTCCTGAAGTATCCTCCCAGTCCTAGCTCTTTATCCCTTCAAGGTTTATCTCTGACTCTGTTCTCTTTTTCTTATAACAGTTGGACTTTGTTATACTAGCTAATTTGGCCTCAGGTATCTACTTCCTCAAATCCTAACAGTTCCGGATGAGGGCCAACCCAATATAACAGAATCATTACTCTGGGCGGGCGGGTGAATGTCTTTTAGTTAGGACATTCGTCTGTGGACCCATTGCTCTATAGTTTGATAACTAGAGTCTTTCGTTATCAAACAAAGGTTTCTTGCTAATACCACAGGATCATGTATTCATACATGTTCTAGGGAATATTGATTTTCAATAAGAATCAAAGATTATTTTACTGAGAAATTATGAAGTGAAAATATGCAGCTTTTGTCATTGACAAAATTATCTTATTTGGGGGTTGGCAGCCGCTGTTTATCTTTTAACTGCATTATTTCTATAATATAAATATGTATGTTTTTCCAGTTAAGTCAGCAAGCACCCAAAACTACTCAGCTCAGTTCTACAGATTCCACAGATGGCAACCTAAATGAACTTCACATTACAATAAGATGTTGCAACCACCTGCAGTCCCGAGCAAGCCACCTGCAGCCACACCCATACGTTGTGTACAAGTTTTTTGATTTTGCAGACCATGATACAGCCATCATTCCCAGTAGCAGTGATCCACAGTTTGATGATCATATGTATTTCCCAGTGCCAATGAATATGGATTTGGATCAATACCTTAAGTCAGAGTCTCTGAGTTTTTATGTTTTTGATGATAGTGATACCCAGGAGAATATTTACATAGGAAAAGTTGATGTGCCTCTGATTTCATTGGCACATGACAAGTGTATCTCAGGTAAGTCCGTGTTCTTGAATCTATAAAATTGTAAAACAAAACATAACAAATTAGTGTTATGGATATGATTTGTTTGTAAGTAATCATCCTGACCTCCTCTCAGTCTTTAAACTTTGGAGCTATATTACTATATTTAAAAATTATTTTCTTACTAGTAGCTCTAAGGATCACAATGTACATTTTATCCCAGTCTACTTAAAATTAATACTAACTTAATGGAATTAAATACTTAAGATATTTATATTAAATATTTAATTCAATAAAAATATAGAAAATACAATACAATTTCACTCTCATCTTCTTTTTGCCATTATCATATATATATATGTATATAGTATGCCTCTCTATATTTTATATACCCAACAATACAATGTTGTAATTATTTTTTTATAAAATCTTCTATTCTTTAAAGAAGTTAAGAGAAGGGAGAAAATATGTAATTATAAAAGACTTTGATATTTACCTACGTATTTGCCATTTCTGATATTCTTTATTTCTTCCTGTAGATTTGAGTTACTGTCTGATACAGTTTCTTACTCCAATATAACAACTCCACTGCCTTCTTGTCCTTTGCGCTATCACCATTGTACTTGCTATGTTATGAGCCCAACAATATAATTTTATAATTATTGTTGTATGCAATTATCTTTTAAATAAGAGAAGAAAAGAGAAAATATGTATTTATACTATGTTTTATAATTACCTCTGTAATTACGTTTATTCATCTCCATTCCTTTGTGTGGATTTGAGTTACCCACTTGGTGTCTCTTTCCTGCAGCCTGAAGTACTTCCTGTGATATGTCTTGTAAGTTAGGTGTCTCCTGGCAGTGAATTCTCTCAATCTAGGAGGATTCTGTTTTCTGGGAATTTTTATTTTGCTTTTGTTTTTTGAAGGTTAGCCTTACTGTATATAATATTTTTGGTCAACAGTTTAGTTTAGTTCACTTTTTAACTTTCTACACTTTGAGAATATCAGACCCTTACTTCTGGGATCCATTGTTTCAGATAATAAATCAGTTATTTATTTTATTGAGGTTCTCTCTTACTTGATGCTGTTTTCCAAGCTTTCTATTTGTTTTGGCTTCCAGCAGTTCTACTTATGTGTCTAGATGTGGATCCCTTTGCATTTATCCTATTTGGAATTTGGTGAGCTTCCTGTTTGTGTAGTGTAATGTTACATACCACATTTAGGGAGTTTACTGCCATTATTTTTTCAGTTATTCTTTTCTGCCCCTTTTTTCTTCACCTTCTTGAACTTCCAGTACCCGTACCATAGGTTGGTATATTTGATGGTTTCCCCACAGGTTTCTGAGGCTGTGTTCATTTTTGTTCTTTCTTCTATAAGTTCAGATTTCCTACTGAACCCTCTATTGAATGTTTTCATTGCAATAATTATACTTTTCAACTCCATAATTAGGGGTCTTGATATGTTGCCCAGGCTGGACTTCAACTCCTAGGCTAAAGTGATTCTCCTGCCTCAGCCTCCTGAGCAGCTAGAACTACAGGCATGTGCTACTGCACCCACGCATTATAATCTCTTACTATATTCTCATTTTGATAAAACGTTATCATTATACTTTCCTTTTAATTCTTTAAACATGCTTTCTTTTAGTTCTTTGAACATATGGTTAATAGCTGCTTTGAGAACTTTGCCAAATCTAATGTGGTCATTCTCAAAAAATGTCTATTGATAGGATTTTTTTCTCCGTATGCAGTACATTTTCCTATTTCTTGGCATGTCTCATGAGTGGAAATGGACATTTTGGATAATATATTGTAACGTCATTTCCTAGGTGGTTATTGTTGCTATTTTTGTTTGTTTGGTAACTTGCCTGCACTAATTCTGTAGAATCTGTTTCCCCTACTGTGAATAGCCACTGATGTCTCTGCTAAGTTTTGTTTCTTTTCTTTTGTTTCCATTTTAACCACAGGTCAGCATAGCTTAGTGGTTAGCCAGTGAGTGTTCAAAGGTGTGCTTAAACACCTTGAGCCAGTAGGTTTCCACCCTTTGCCTGTGTGTCAGTGTGTGGCATGGAGGATGCATTCATATCAAAGTTCAGTCTACAAGCCTACCTCAACTTTTACTTTCTGAATTGACTAGACCTCTCATTCAGCCAGAGACAGATAGCTTACCAAGGTCCTCTTTGATTTCTCCTGAGCATTTACACAGTTTTGTGCATACACATAGCCTTCCATCCTGTTGAGGCCCACTTTTTCTTTTCTTTTTTTTTTTTTTTAAATGGAGTCTTGCTCTGTAGCCCAGGCTGGAGTGCAGTGGCGCCATCTGGGCTCACTGCAACCTCCTCCTCCTTTCAGGTTCAAGCAGTTCTCCTGCCTTAGCCTCCCAAGCAGCTGGGATTGCAGGTACCCACCACCACACCTGGCTACTTTTTGTATCCTTAGTAGAGACAAGGTTTCACCATGTTGGCCAAACTGGTCTTGAACTCCTGACCTCAAGTGATCCACCCCCCCCTTGGCCTCCCAAAGTCCTGGGATTACAGGCGTGAGCCACCCCACCTGACCAACACCCAATTTTGATATCTTATTCCTTGGATCTCCCTTTTAAATTGTTGGTTGGCCTTCTGGTCTTTTGGCTTGCTGCAACCATTATTGAGACCTTAGGCTGTCTGTGATATTGACCTTCTCTGATTGTTTGCCACTGAGGTTGCTGTTGTTTTTAACAATGCCTCTGGGCATGAAATTATCTATATTTTGTTCCACACATAGTCAGCCCCCTACAACAGAGGCTCCCAGTCCTCCTAGTCTATCCTAGCCTGGCATAACTTCTGCAAAATGGGACTGGGGGAGAAAGGGGAGGATGAGAGCAGTCCCATAGTTTCCTACTGTTCTTACTGAGGTGCAGTGGATTTTCTTGAGTAAATGCTTCTCCATTTATCCAATATCTTTGATCAATTTCCAGAGTCCTTAAATGGTTATTTTTGACCATTTTATCCAGTTTTATCATCATTTTTTAAGAGCAGATTTCCTGAGGTTTTTACTTAGCCGTTCTGGAAGTCTGACTATGCCTGTAATAGAGGTTTATCACCTCCTTATGTTCTACCTATATCCTTTTATCCTACCTCAAGTCTAGAGTTTTGGGAGTTGTTTTTTTTTCCAGCCAGCCATTAAAAGGAGTATCAACACTTGAAAGCAAAGTAAAGGATATCCTTAAGCAAAAGTTAATGCTTGAAATTTAGGTTTAAGCTGGGTACCTGTAGTCCCAGCTACTCCAGAGGCTGAGTAGGCAGATGGCTTGAGGCCAGGAGTTCAAGACCACCAGTATGCTATGATTGCATCTGTGAATAATCACTGCACTGCAGCCTGGGCAATGTCATGAGACCCTGACTATTTAAAAAAATAATAAAAAAGATATATAGGTGTTTCTTTTAAGTCAGAGATTTTTTTCATACCCAAAAATCTAGTGCAACTATTTCTATTTGAGACTTAATGTAACAGATTCACATTTCTTTTGTTACTGCTATTTGTTGTAGATGGTCCGTTTATTTTATGGACTTTTCCTGTGCTACTATTAATTTGGAGTCATTTAATAAATCCCAATAAAGTATATTTAAAATTATAAGAGAATTATATGGTAACATAAATATTCCTTTAGATGTGTAAATTATTTGAATTTTTAAAGTATTAATATATTTTTCTTGAAAGACAAACCTTACAAAAACTTTCAGGTCAAAATGGAGGTTGATACTTGAGCCATAAGCCTTCTTGAAGGAAGGCTTAAGAATTCTGAAAAATCTCTGAATTTAATTTCAGTGAATTAAAATATTTATAAATTAATTTTCTCATCTTTGAATCAGCATTATCTTTGAGGCCTTAACTTCTAGAGGAAGTTTTACTTGAGAGATGAACCTGTCATAGATCATTTTGTCTTTATTTTACTCTCTAAGCCATCTGAATTCTGAGTAAAAGCCAAAATTATTTTTAAAGTACGGGGTACAACCGCCTGGCTAGCTCGGTTGGTAGACCTTGAGACTCTTAAAGTAGGGGGGTAGTTCTTTGTTCTTCTGTAATTCTTATGGTAATAGAACTTCACCCTAGCATTAATTAAAATGGTTGTAATTTGACAGGAATATTTGAGTTAACAGACCATCAAAAGCATCCTGCTGGCACCATCCATGTGATACTGAAATGGAAATTTGCTTACCTTCCACCAAGCGGATCAATAGCAACTGAAGACTTAAGAAATGTCATACACAGAGAAGAGCCAGAAGTTGTTCAAAGACTTCCTCCAGCATCCTCTGATAGCATACTAGAAGTGAGTAACTGTGACTTTTAATTTTTCTACAAGTGTAAAATTTTGAATATAAAACTTAAGAACTAAACTAAACTAAGCCACCCCCACCAAAAAAAAAAAAAAAAAAAAGCTAAAATCTTATCTGAAATCTAATGGTCATGATACTCAGTCTGACATATTGGTTGGTTTGTCTTAGGCACCAAGACCTAAACCAAGACGACGTTTAACACCAGTAGATAAGAAGGTGTCTTTCGTGGATATCATGCCGCATCAGAGTGATGTGAGTAGTAAACACTGAAAATACTGATTTTTTTCCATGACAAATATTTGAAATAAATGATACAGGTATACTATTCCATACCTGATTTAAATGGAAACAGGTGAATGAAATATGTCTTTTCCCATTAAAATGATTGCTTTGTGTTTTGGCACTATATATAAGTGTTAACTGTTCACATTTTTTATCTAAACCCTTTTGTGGGCCCTTATCTCTCTCTAGCTTCTGCCCCAATCCTCTGTTCCTATTTATTTTAAAAAAAAAATTATCAAAACATTTTCTAAATTCTGTCTTCCTCACTTCACGTTGGTTCTTGAACTCACTTCAGTTAAGCTTTTATTCTCCTAAAACTATTCTTACTAAGGTCACAGTGACTTTCTGCCATATGTGGTAGTCAGTTCTCAGTGCCTCTCAATCTCCCAGGAGCATTTGACACAGTGGAATACGGACCTCGCTTCTCTTGGCCTCTGGGATACCATGCCTTTCTAACTTGCCTCCAACTTTACCGTTATACTTCTCACACTCCTTGACCATATGTCTAAATGTCAAAGTGCCTCTGCAGTCAACCTCAGACCTCTTCTCAATCCATATCTGCATTAAGAGATCTTGTACAGTCCCATAGCTTTAAAAAGCATCTATATGCTGACACTTTCATATTTATAATCTTTAGTCTGGACCTCACTGCTGAAGTTGATATTCATTTTCTTACTACCTATTTAATATGCAATGAATGTTTAATAGGAATTTAAACTTAACATGTCAAAAACCAAACTCCTGATTATACTAACTGTCTCCCAAAATTTTTGCCTCTTTCAGTGTTTCCCATTCTCTGTAAATGACACTTGATTGCACGCGCATGAAATTTTGGAGGCATCCCTTTGTCTCCTCTTTTTGTCATACCCTACATCCAGGTCATCCACAAAAGCTGTCAGCTGTACTTTAAATATACACTGTATTCAGATTATTACCATTCTCTCTCACATGCACTTTTTAGAAAATATATCTTCTTTGTAATTTGCATATAGGTTATATAGTAAAGGACATAAATCTTAAGCACAGAGCTCAATGGATTTTTAAATATGTACATACCTTTGTAACTATATCCTATATCAAAATATTCTGTCTCTCCAGAGCTTAAAATAATAACTGGCACATACAGAGCATTGAATATATATGTGATAATTAATGAATTCAGTAGTTATAAATCAGTAGATGTTTTATCACTAGTATTTATTGAGTGTTTATTACTTGGTTTACGTACATTGGACTCATTTAGTCCTCACAACAACCGCATGTCATTCATACTAGAATTATTCCCATTTAAAGATGGGGAAAGTGATGTTTAGAGGTTAAGTAACTTGCTCATGGCCAAATCTATTAGAGCTGGGATTTGAACATACGTAGCCTGATTCCTAAGTAAATGACCACTAACATTAAAAAGACATAAACATAGAGGTGTTTGTTGCAATGTTACTCATAATACCTAAAAATTGTGAACTAGCTAAATGTCCAGCAGTATTAAAATCGTTCATTAAGCCATAGTATAACCATCAATATAATATTCTTTTGTCATTTAAAATTGTTTTTCCAAGTTTCATATAAGGAGAAAATATTTATAATATTAAATTTTTTAATGTAACAGAATATATATCATACAGTTATCACTATGCAACTGAAATTTTTATTTCCATCAAAAATTAGTTTTACAGAAATAGAAATCTAAGAAGTTTGATAGATATTACCATTGAGTACTAGATTTATATTGATTTCTTTTATATTTATCTTTCACATTTCCTATATTGGCCATGTTTATTTTTAAAAATAGTAAAAGTCATAAGCTGTATTTTAAAACTAAACATTAGTTTATTAACCCAGGAATAATACTTAACTATAAATTCATATTTGATGAAATAAAAAGATCACATTGATCATAAGGAATACATACCTGTGATAGCATATGGCATTTTTTACATCACATGAATAATTTATAATTGGCATAGAAATGTTAGAAAATACAAAGAAGAAAAAAAAACAGTGAAAATAAAATTTAATGTTCCCAAATGTAAAACTCAGAGATACTGTTTTGATGAATTTTCTTTCATACTTTTTCCCATGGAAATACACACAGATATATGTTGGATTCCTTGTTTGTATTTTAACAAAACATAATATAGCTATATATATTGTTCTGTAAATAGCTTTTTTACTCAGCACCATGTTATGTATTCTCTGTAATGTTAATAAACACAGATCTGTATCATTATTTGGATGCAGTATATTTTATTTAATTCCCTATTGTTGGACATTTGCATCGCTCTCATTTTTTTTTTTTTTTTTGCTATTGTAGACAGTGCTTCAATGAACTAAACTTGCAGTTCTTCAATTACCTATATATGTTTTTAAATATATATTTATATTTTAAAGAATATCAATACCATTTTATCGAAATATACTAAGTAAATTCAGTGTCATATGAGTTACTATTATATTTGCTGCCAATTTTTATTAGTTCATTAATATATATGGAATAGTCAGAATGATTTGGGATTTAGTAATAAATAAAAAATAACATACATACATGTTTTCACATTAATATAAGGAGACTTCTCCTCCTCCTGAAGATATGAAGGAAATTTTGCCAGAAGTGGAGCATATACCAGAAATAGAAATTAATGTGCCAACTGTTTCACATGTTCCCAAGGTATGTATTTGTGTTAAAATTATTTTGGAAGGTTTAATTTGGTTCTTAAAGACTTTGTCTTATAAGTTTTGACATGACTCAGGAAGTCAAATTTTTTATCCTATTTTTATATATGACTTCCTTGGAACAAAAAGTCAAAAATATGACAAGTGTAATAGCTGTAATTATACTGCTATTGGCAGGTAATATATGGATATGTGAATTAAAGTCTTAATGTAAAATTCATTTTGAGATTAATACATTTTTTATTCTTAGTACATATTCAGATTTCCATTTATCTATATATTGTCATTTGTCTGTACAAATTGAAGTGGTTGTTTTCTGAGTCTCATACATATTACATATCTGTATATTTAAGTCTCAAATTTATATGCTTTATTATTCAAATGTTCCAGCAAGAATGCTATAAAATGTGATCTAAGCAATAATAAATATAACAGTGTGCATTTATTTCTTCAGGTTTCACAAGAAAGCAGTGTAGATGAGGTAAAAGAGAATACTGAGAAAATGCAGCAAGGAAAAGATGATGTGTCTTTACTATCTGAAGGTCAGCTTGCAGAACAAAGCTTGGCATCTTCTGAAGATGAAACAGAAATAACAGAGGACTTGGAACCGGAAGGTGACTTCCTTTTTTAAACTAACATTATTTACTTAACTCTGTGCTTTGTTTTGTCTGTTAGAGTATGCATCATAGAACATGCTCATTTAATAGCAGGATCTACTTCACAATACCTGTTTCTTGACAGAAATGATAGAATATAGTTATGTCTGCTTAGCTGTAGTTAGTTGGAATTGTTGTATCTCTGCTTATTTCAACCTGGAGCTCCACATGGAATACAAATGTTGTTGCTGACCATGTTCCCAATTTATGTTTTAAACAGTTTTATATTCCCTTTGAGTTCAGTATTATCATCTGCATTAGTGTAGAGGTCTTGACTTAAAAATTGAAACCCAGCCAAAATGACCACTTGCTGTATTTTTTAAAATCCGGTAAAAGCAAACTAATCTGTAAGAATAGGAACAGGGAGGGGCAAAAGGGAAGAGAATACAGAAGGACCTAAGGAGACTTTTGGAGGTGATGGATATGTTCACTATCTTAACTGTGGTGTTGGTTTCACAGAATTAGACTTATGGCAAAACATCTAATTTTAGCCAGGCATAGTGATGCATGCCTGTAGTCCCAGCTACTTTGGAGGCTGTGAGGGAAAGATTACTTGAGCCCAGGACTTTGAGGCTTGGAGTGTGCTATGTGGTGCCTGTGAATAGCTACCGTACCCCAGCCTGGGTAGAATAGCAAGACCCTGTCTCTAAAAATAATTAAAATATATATATATTGTGTGTGTGTGTGTGTGTGTCAGATTTTGCAGTTTGTGTTGCAGTTTATTTTGTGTCAGTTTTATATCAATAAAGCAATAAAAATTTTAAAACTTTTGACTAATAAGAATAACATTGACTTACATGACATTATTGGTCAGGCTATTAAAAAACATCTATTACCCTATGCTTCTCTTTTAAAAAATTTTTCCTTAAATTTTACAATAAGGTGTTTTTTAATTGGCATTTCCTTTGCTTCTACAAAATTAACCTTGAAATTTTTAGTCTTTCTTTTCCCTAAAATGTAATATGTCTATAAACAAATTCGTTACTAAAAAGATCTAGACATAATTACCATGTTTCTTAAGGTTATCTTACAGTGTGTGCTTGTTTCTCTTTATTTCACAAGGTATAAATAGAACTGGTTTAACTTGTGTAAATGTTACTCTTTGATTTTTTAACAGTTGAAGAGGACATATCAGCTTCTGACAGTGATGACTGTATTATTCCAGGTCCTATCTCCAAGAATATCAGACAGGTCAGTAATTGATGCCAACTAGAAATGTTCTGAAATAAGGCTGTCTTTCATTCATAGTACAGTACATATACAGTCTTCATATGTAAAATCTTAAGGAAAACTTTCTGGAAAAACTTTAATGTTTATTTTAATCTTAAAGTAGTCATCTAGTACAAGAAACTTTTTATTTATGGTTTCATTATATAATGGACTATAACATATAAGTATTATTTTTTGCACAGAGTACCTTTAATCAATATCTCCAATAGTTATTTGCTAAAACTAGCTGACTTCCTTGACTCCTTTTCAAGACTAGCATACCAAGATGTGTTGAAGCAGATCTGAACTTTAAAGAACTCAAAATGTGAGATTCCCTTTGAAACTATAATAGTTTGCCTATGTGAATTCATAGGCTACTCTTACCCAGATATGTCCACTGATAATATGTTACAGTTATTTCATTTCTGCCCAAAAAAATGAAGCCTTCTTAGAAAGCAATTAATCTTGTGCAGGTGTACTTCACTAATCTTGTAGCACACGGCTGAAAAGCAGTATGCAAATTGACATTTTGAGAAGAGAACTATATTTTTAAATATATATATGGGAAGTATAGTGTTTACCAGAGCATTTTTTATTGTAAGAGGGGAAAAGTTTCTATAAAGTAAATGTAAGTAGAGTAAAAAGCTCTAGCTTTTTCTGTTCATCTACATTAATTTTTCTTAAACGATTGTTTTTTTTGTAGAATTTTTACTTTATTGATAAGAATTGGAATATTTCTTTTAACTCTTTCTTCACATATTCCAGGCTTAATCTCTCATTAAAACAAAATCACAGACCAGGCACAGTGTTTCACACCTGTAATCCCAATACTCTGGGAGCCCAAGGCAGGAGGATCACATGAGCCCAGAAGTTCAAGGCTGCAGTGAGCTATGGCTGCACCACTGCCCTGCAGTCTGGGTAACAGAGTGACATTCTGTCTCTACCCAAATAAATAAAACAATAGAACTGAACATTTCTGTTGTTGTCACAGATTCCTCCATGAAATAGAGATATCCATCGTTTCTGTGCTCGACAAATACAAATAGAACATTTCATCTGTCCAAAGTTTTATCATTTTTATTATATATTTATTAATTATAATCTCATCTAATCTATGAAAACTCCTACATAGACCTACAATAGAACCATGTGTATGTTGGCAACATTGCTAGCATCTCAGTGAAGTTGTACATTGCTCTTAACTAAGGTAAAATAAACTTTAATAAAGAAGTTTAGCAAAAGAAATTATTATTTCTCTGAAATATTCAAATAATTTAATGTACATATACATATTTTTTCTTTGTAATAAACTGGATTTTTTCCATTACTTAAGGTAAAATAATTTGTGTTACTTGGCTACAGTCTGATACAGTCTTCACTATCATTCCAAAATTTGATTTCCTATAATGGTTTCAGATGCTATCTGAAATGTGAACATCATTTAAAGCAAGAAATTCTTCATGCTTCACCTCCCATGGGTTTTAAAAATTCTATTTTCAGCATCAGTCACTGCCCAGCACCTATGTTTTCTTAGTTTGTTTTGTGTTACTATAAAGCTATACCTCAGGGTGGGTAATTTAAAAAGAAAAGTGGTTTATTTGACCCACAGTTCTGCAGGCTGTAAAAGAGGCAGGGCACTGGCATTTGCCTTTGGTGAGAGCCTCAAGCTGCTTTCACTCATGGCAGAAGGCTAAGGGGAGCCACAGCATATGGAGATCACATACCAAGAGAGGAAGGAAAAGAGAGAGAAGTAAGAGTTGCCAGCTTATTTTTAACAATCAGCTCTCAGGGGAACTAACAGAGTGAGAGCATTAATCTATTCGTGTGGGATTTGCTCCCATAACCCAGACACCTCCCACTAGACTCCACCTCCCCACACTGCAGGTTAAATTTTAACATGACTTTGGTGGAGACAAACAAATCATATTCAAACCACAGCATATTGTTAACAGGTGAAATTTAGTTTTGGTAAATTATATACCAAATATAGTAAAATGGTATCATCTGAAAGCCTGGGAACAAAACTCAAGAAATTATAATGGCTAATGGTATTGTTTGAATGATGGTATCCCCTCCAAAATTTATGTTGAAACTTAATCCCCAATGCAACAGTATTAAGAAATGTGGCCTTTAGGAGATGATTAAGTCATGAGGACAGAGCTGTCATGAATGGGATTAGCACCCTTCTGAAAGGGCATGATATTGAAGAGACACTGTCTTGCTCTTCTGCCATATGAGAACATAGCATTCCTCTTCTGCAGAGGATGCAGCAACAAGGCACAATCTTGGAGACAGAGAGCAGCCCTCACTAAACACCAAACCTGCTGACACCTTGATCTTGGACTTCCCAGTCTCCCAAACTCTGAGAAATAAATTTCTATTATTCATAAGTTACCCAGTCTGTGATATTTCATTGTAGCAGCACAAATGGACTAAGACAGTGAAATACAGGATTGTCTATTGATTTTACCAGTTTTTGTGTGTACTACTTTAGCAAATCATTTAATATGAATAATAGAACCTTTCTCTTTAAAGATTGCAAAAGTGGTACAAAGAACTTCTGTATATTCCTTACCTGAATTCACAGATTTTAACTTTTTACTTATTTTGTTTAACTTTTTACTCATTTGTTTTATCATTTCTAGTCTCTCTCCTGCATATACGTATAGTGCACATACTTAGGTATTTACTTATAAACATACATTCTTTCATACACAATTGTTATAAACCATTTGAGTATTGCAGAAATCATGCCCCTTTAACCCTAAACACTTCAGAACAATTATATGATATTCTTCTCTAACTTACAGTTTTCATTAGAATTTTGCCAGTTGTCCTAGTAGTATCATTTATAGTATCTTATTCATATAGTCCAAGATCCAGTCACTAGTTTTCATTTAGTGAAAACGAAATCACACATTGCATTTAGTTTTCATGGCTCTTTAGCCTCCATTAATCTGTAATGGTTCTTCAGGCTTTCTTGCAGTCTTTTGTAACAGTGACACTCTTTAATACAGGCCCTTTATGTTGTAAAATATTCTTTATTGAATTTGTCTGGTGTTTCCTCCAGATCAGATTCCAGTTATACATTTTGGTAGGAATACAGCAGTGATACTATGTCCTCTTCATTGCACCATATCAGGAGGCACAAAATGTCATTTTGTCTAATTATTGATGGTGTTAACTTTGGTTGAAGTATTGTTTCATAAATTCTTTTGTAAGCTTAAAAATACTTGTGGTTCATTCATTTTTTCTTTTGTCTTCTCTTTAAGAACTGTTTCTGGTAGAAGTCTCAGAATAGTGAGACATAGCTTGCATAGGCAGGAATGTATTACTGAATGCCTGTTATGTGCTAAGTACATCCTATGTTAATATTTCCTCACAACAGTTCTTCATTTATTAGCATACAGTGTGTGTCAGGCAGGCATACAAGAAGCAATTCCTTCCCTCAAATAATTCGTAGTCCTGGGGGAGGGGAACACAAATTATAATGCATAGTGGTCTGCACCAGGAGAATGGAATGCATGGGGTGCTATGGGAGCATTCGGAAGGGGTCCCTAAGTCAGCATGAGGGGCCTTCCCTTCATCAAGGATGACATCCTAGAGTCAGCAAAGCTGGAGCCAGTATTGAAGATGATTGGGAGTTCATGAAAAGAGAGAGATAATTATAGGCCATAGAAATGAAAAGCATGAGAATCTGAGAGAACATAGTGCATGGCTTGTTCTAGAATTCAGAATGGTTTTAGGATGGGCCAAGCCTATTATGATATGCTTAGGAAGCCCAGGAGAATAGGCTGAAAAGGTAGGCATAATCCAGAACATTGAGACCTCTGAGATTTGTAAGGAATGGGGATAGAAGATCACTCATTCATTCAACAGATATGTATGTAGTGAGCATTTGCTGTGTTCCTAGCCTTGTTCTAGGGACTGGGAATAGATCCATGAATACAAAAAATTAAGCTCCTGTTCTTAAGGAGTTTGCACGTTTAGATCACATTTTGAAAGATCATGCCATCAGTAATGTAAAAAATAGACTAGAATAGAGGAACAGACTAGTTAAAAAGGAATTAGGTAACCCTACTTTATAGTTATCCCCACTTTATAGACTTTTTAAAAATTGCCTCTATTTATAACGTTAGAAAATTAGGACTAGAAGTAGTGCCCTAGATAAATATCATTTATGCCAGTTACACTGTGAGTTTGAAGTATCTGATATACTGTGTAAGCAATTTAAGATCATTCAGTTTCTTTTCTTCATGTTACAGAATCAGACAGTTCATAGTTATTTCTTAGAAATGTTGATCCTTAAAAGGAATCTAACAGATTTCCCAGGACTTCTACATATTACTTGGTTTTTTCTCTTCATGTCTGTGATGTATAATTAATCATAGATTACTTCATTTTGTTTCATTTCATTTACAACATTTATGAGCTTCACTTTGTCAGTCTGAAATGCTTGTCCCCTCCTTTCCTTTCGAAAGTGGCATAATTAGTGTTAGCATCTTTTTTAACAGGCTACATAAAGTTTAGTGGCTGGATTAAATCAAGTCATTAACATAATGTGCCACCCAATTTGCCCCTATCTCTCTTCGTTTCCCGGACATCAAAGTGCCACATAGTGCAAGTGTAATTGGGCCTTGCTGGCCTGTCAGATTCCGTCAGTCTGACAACTGCTGCTTTTACTAAAAAGCTTCTAGGCATGATAATTAATGGTGAGGGTTGGGGGGGCAGAAGTCTGAGAAATGTAAAACTTTGGACATTTCTCTATGAATATTTTATTGATTTGAATAATCAGAAGTTAACAGTATAAATTTGATGTATAATACATTGATTAAAAGCCTTGTTTTAGGTCCTCAAAATAGACATCAAAACTGAACATTTGCATCTGCCATGGCATTAAAAAAATTTAATAGTCTGTCCTTGTATTATTTCTTATTTTATCATTCAATAGTGCAGCTTTCATTTTTCACAACAAAATGTATTGCCATGAACTCACAGCTGACTTAAAATGTGCCCACAGGTGAGAATAGGAAATTACAGGTTGAAGGAGCGATGGACTCTTCTGTGCCCTGCATATTTACATCATTCTCTTTCTCTGTTCCTACTAATAGCAGTTTTGTAAAAGCTGCCATATTCAATTGGACTAAATTGCAGTTCCACCTGGAAACTAGGTTCTCTGAACAATGAGCTGGCATTCCCAGGTGATTACAATAATGATGTTCAGGGAAATATGTTTAAAACTTTGAAAGGCACAATGCAAAAAGCAATTTACTAGCTTTAGAATTCATGTATGAAAAATTATTAAATCACTTAGGAATCAAATATGATATCCTCTCAGTGGATAAAATAAGCTGCTCTCCATGTTTTACATGTGGCAGCTTAAGCTAGACAGAGACTAGGTTTTAAAATATGTTTTACTTGACCGGGCACAGTAGCTCATGCCTATAATCCCAGCACTTTGGGAGGCTGAGGTGGGCAGATTACCTGAGGTCAGAAGTTCAAGACCAGCCTAACCAACATGGTGAAACCCTATCTCTACTAAAAATACAAAAATTCACTGGGCACGGTGGTGGGCACCTGTAATTCCAGCTACTCAGGGAGGCTGAGGCAGGATAATCCTTGAGCCTGGTAGGCGAAGGTTGCAGTGAGCTGAGATCGCACCACTCCCCGCCAGCCTGGGCAACAGAGCAAGACTTCATCTCAAAAATAAATAAATAAATAAAAATAAAATATATTTTATGTAAAGCCAGAAATGTTGACATACTCTCCTGACAGAAATTTCTTTTAAACTATTTTTGTACTTTGCAATTTAACTAACTCTTACTAATATACCATAAACATTTTTCCATAACAGTATACTCTATTTTTTTAACATACCCATAATATTCCATTTATGGCCATACCATATTTATTTAAATAAGCCCGTTTTGATGGACCCTTAAGTTTCTGTCATTTTTTGCTTATACAAGTATTTCTGCTTAAAATGAACATTGTTATATATAACAACGTTTGAAAATTCCTGTTTTCTCCTATCACACTCTTTGCCAAATTAATGGATAAGAAATTATGCCTCAGTGATGATTTCATTTAAAAAGAAACAAATGGGGCCAGATGTGGTAGCTGACACCTGTAATCCTAACACTTTTCAGGCCAGGAGTTCAAGACCGGCTTGGACAATGTAGCAGGACCCCCCATCTCTACGAAAATAATTTTTTTACGTTAGCCAAGCCTGGTGTCCAATGTCTATAGTCCTAGCAACTCCGAAGGCTGAGGTTGGAGGATCACTTCAGGCCAGAAGTTCGGGGCTACAGTGAGCTATATCACACCACTGCACTCCAGCCTGTGTGAGAGAGGAGAACCTGTCGCTGAAAAGCACAGACACACAAAAGAAATACAAAAAGGTTTTTCTGTACATATATTTTTATTTGAACATACAGACATAACATTTAAGTTTATATAAGCAAAGAAAGTGTGTGGAAAAAGTACATCTGACAGCATTAGCAGTGAATATCTCTCGGGTAAGAGTCAGCAAACAATAGCCCGTATGCCAAATCCAGCCCTCTACCATTATTGGAACCCAGCCACTCATTCATTTACATATTATCTATTGCCGCTTTCACTCTACAAGGGCAAAGTTGAATACCGTACAGCCTGAAATGCCAAATATATTTGCTAGTCATCCTTTAACGGAAAGAAAAATTGCCAACTCCTGAGTTAAGTGGTAGAATGAAACAAGAAGCTTTTATGTTTGTCATTTGGTAATTTATATTGTTATATTTTTTAGTAGTGAGCATGGATTGACTCAAAAAAGGAAATAGCTAATTCTGTACTGAAATAATAGCTAAAGAAGACTTTAACATGAATATTGTGGAAGCTTTTCTATAAAAATGTTAGAAGTCTCTGTTGATGGAAGATGAATCTTTTTTGCTTTAGAGCAATATTTCTCAAAGCATGATCCCCAGAGTTCAGCACCAGCATCCGCATCACCTGAGAATTTGTGAAAGATGCAAATCCTTGGCCCCACCTCAGACCTAATGAATTAGAGGCTCTATGGAGTCCACCAATCTGTGTTTTATCAAATGATTCTGGGGTATGCTAAAGTGCAAGAACCATAGCTTTAGAAAAAAGCAGTACTTTTCACCCTTGGCTGCACATTAGAATCATCTAGGGAGCGTCGTTAAATGCCGGGGCCCAGGCTCCACCCAGATAAATTAAGTCAGACTTTTGTTTATAGCTCCCCTGGTGATTCTAATGTGCAGCCAAAATCAAGAACCACCATACTACAACATCTGTTCTCAATGATGGTGAAAGGAGAATGGCATATCAAAATCACCTGAAATTGAGAGTGTTTTTTTTTTTTTTTAGAAAAATTCTCCTTGCTTCACATTACTGCCATAGTAAACCCACAGTTAAGGATGGAAATGTGTCATATCCCTCAGGTTTGTATCTATTTATACACATACACACAACATTTTTATAGTGATAAAATAATGCCAGTTTATAATTATTTGGCATAATTATTTGGAGATTAATTTGGTATTAGGGCAGAAAAAAATAATCCAAATCACTGCATGAACACAGTAATTTATGGGGCATGTAAGGACACCATGGCAGTGTTCTAAAAATAAGTACTCTTAAAGCTAGCACTGTTTTGATCCCCAACACTGAAGTTTGCAACATTTACATTATTTATTTAATATACTACATTTTACCAGAACATGTTAGAAAAGATGTATTACTGCCACTGATGAAAACTCAGTGGTTTGCTTTTGTTTGTTAAAAACCATATTACCTTGACGGTTTGAGATTCTGGAAACATCGCCCTTTTTTTTTTTTTTTTTTTGAGATGGAGTCTCACTTTGTCACTGGGCTGGAATGCAGTGGCATGATCTTGGTTCACTGCAATCCACCTCCCAGGTTCAAGCAATTCTCCTGCCTCAGCCTCTCAAGTAGCTGAGACTACAGTTATGTGCCACCACGCCCAGCTAATTTTTTGTATTTTTAGTAGAGACAAGGTTTCACTGTGTTAAGCAGGCTGATCTCAATCTCCTGACCTCATGATCCACCCGCCTTGGCCTCCCAAAGTGCTGGGATTACAGGCGTGAGCCACTGTGCCCTGCCAAAACATAACCTGTCTATGTACATATTTCTCCTAAAGAGTTATTCTTTTAAACAACCAAAATGCTTTAATCAGAACCTGTATGAAGGGTGGATTTGATGCACAATGTAAGAGGAAGCTTTGGAGCCTAGTTTAAGGGACTCAAGGGGACTTTTTTGAGTCTTTGAGATGTCTCTGCCCATGCCTAGCCTGAAGAAGGGAACTTGTAAGAATCACCATTAATTAATATACATTCCTACCCACTTACATATGGCTCTGTCAGTACCAGTGGTTGAGTCTGATTGTTTTAACCAACTGCTTTGAGCTTGTCTTAGAGCTCACCCCAATTAAAATTTTACTCTTCAAGAGCACTGACATAGATCTTGTGCATTTCCATTTTGTCTCTGTTGTTTTGTTACAAAGTACCTAGTTCTACATACTATGGCTCCTACAGGTAGATTTTATTTGCATCTATGTACACACACACACACACACACACATACACAGAGAAAATATTTTTGTGGTGATAAAATAATACCAATTTATAATTATTTGGTGATTAATTTGATAATCCCTTATAGTTGAAATTCTTTTTTTTTTTTTGAGACGGAGTTTTGCTCTTGTTACCCAGGCTGGAGTGCAATGGTGCAATCTCGGCTCACCGCAACCTCCGCCTCCTGGGTTCAGGTAATTCTCCTGCCTCAGCCTCCCGAGTAGCTGGGATTACAGGCACACGCCACCATGCCCAGCTAATTTTTTGTATTTTTAGTAGAGACGGGGTTCACCATGTCGACCAGTATGGTCTCGATCTGTTGACTTCGTGATCCACCCGCCTCGGCCTTCCAAAGTGCTGGGATTACAGGCTTGAGCCACCGCGTCCGGCCCTAGTTGGAATTCTTTTACCTATTACCCAGCAATTCTGCTCCTAAGGAAATCATGCATGTATACAGGAAAACATAAAAGGATATTCAATGCAGCATTGTTTGTAATAGCAAAAAATTGTAAACAATTGTACATCAGTAGGTAAATATACCATAGATTACATATGCAATATAAATAGGATTCTATACAACAGTTAATATGAATAAATTGGATTTGAAAAATAAATATGAATAAATCTCAGAAATATAGTATTGAATATAAAAACAGAAATTACAGAATGATTAATGAGTATGATACCACTAATATAAAACTGAAAAACAGAAAACAATGCTATATGTTGTTTATAGATATACGCATAGGCAATAGAAAATATAAAGGCATGTTTGGGAATGATACAACCAACTTCAAGATAGTTGTAACCATGGGGGAATGAGGAAGGGAAGGGAAAGGATTTGGCAGCTGGTGGCTTTACC